CGCCGTAGTTTGTTAGGCGAAGAGTGGCTACAACAATAATTTCATAGAAAAGTTATGAAAAATTGGGATACGTGACCAAATAACAAGAGGAATCACAATTAGTTGTTTAGCGTTAAAGTAAACAGCCCCCCCCCCCCCCCCGGAAAGTGCTGACGTAGGATAAAATTTGCTCCGACGGGGCACTTTTAGATGTTCTGACAACATCCAAAACATATGTTCGTCTATTTTAGGGAACCCACCTCTATCTACCCGTAGCGATGTTTTCGCTCTTCATAGAAAAAGTTGTCGTATTTAGCAGAGCGATCAGTTTCAAAAAGTGTTTAGATATAACACTGCCTACCGCCATCTGTGTTAAGATGCGAGTAGTCAATACACTCATTGTTAGTTACGATCTATAATCAACAGCGACTAGAAAAATCTCTTGACATTGTTAATAATGTACAGAATGTTTATACTAAAGAAGATCTGTGCGTAGCTGATGTATATTACAGCTCTCGTATCGGTTACCTGTAAGCCAAACGTAGGTCATTACCGTTACCTGCAAGTCATTTGATCTGTATTGTTAGTGCCATTGTAGGTATTTCCATTCATTTGATATCCGTTTGTCAGCGTACACACGAATTTGTGATAGGGTTTACCGGAGAAATGTTTCACGTTTTATGTACAGGGCAGAGTGGCGAATGAGCTTATACGGCGCTGAACTTTTGCAACGAGCAAAAGCCACAAGCTTTAGTAAACGTATTTACGCCACGAGTGTTTGATATCTCAGTGAACAAAGTAACCTTTTGTCTTGGTAAACGAGATTGGCATTGGATAATGGTAACAACAATAACAACAACAACAACAACATTGTTTTTGAATATCTATCAAAAATTAATATTCTGGCAAAATATGCCAATTCTGTAAAGTTTCTTACTAAATGACTACTTTAGCACTTAATTCCAGTTATCATTTGATAGGACATACATTTTAATTAGTTATAAGGAACTGTAATATATTTTAGTACAGTCGAGTAACTTCCATTAATAATCCAGGTTTGTAAATGAACGATGTTTTTCCCATGTAAGTCATTAATTTAGCTATACACGAAAATCTTCGAGTCTTTCCGGCGGCTACGAGAGGCAGGGCTTATCGTTCGAGAATTAAGCTAAGGTAAAAGCAAGTATAGGTAGATCGGCTCGAAATCGAACAAAGCAAAGCTGGAACGACGTCGGAGAATTAATTAACAGAAGGTTAGACAGCTGTCTGGGAGACAGTGTAGATAAAGGCCGGAAGATGATTGTGCAAGAGAAACGGATGCCTGCTGAGATGTAACGAACAGAATCCAGTTTATGAAAGAACGAAGACTATGAAGGAAAAAGCGTTAGTCGTAGAAGCGAGCTCGATAGTCGTTGGCAGCCTCTAGATAGAGGTATCGCTATGGGATATATTAATTCACAGTCATAACAAAAACAAATTTGTCTGTCTTTCGAAAATTGTCTAGTTTTATGTAACATATGGGGCAAAACATGAAAATGCACAATTACTACATCTTAATATGTTAAACATGATTGGCTAATATTGTGAAAACGCATCGATATTAGTGACATGCACCACTTTTCTTTTCAAAGTTCAAATCTTCTTGCCTCCAGTAGTTATCTCCTATTAGACAGTACTTCTCGCTGAGCATACGCTTACCATATTACGCCGTTTTTAAATTAGAAATGAGACGAAAGAAGCTCAAATATTTTTCATAACGCATTCTTTTCTTTTTATGACACTGTCCTGCTTCCAGCAGCATTGTCCGGAAAGCTTACAAAGAATCGTGTTGATACGAACTGCAGGCAAATGAATGGCGGATAGTACGTATAACAGAATTGTCTTCAGCAACTCTTCTTTATGAATGATTCTTGATTACTCCAATGGGTCGGAAGAGGAGTCATAAAATCCAGATGACACTTCCAGAAGCAACGTAAACTAAGAAGACCACTGATCCACCGTATTTAGGCTGCTCGACCCTTCTGCATTAGAATCTGATTCGGTGCTGATGTTATGGTGAATGCATTAGCCGTTCGTAATGGTTTTGTGAACGTAAACGGTACTGTGTTAGTACTTAAGCCGTACTAGACGCTACTTGTGCTACAGTCGCGTCCTACTTTGCAGACGTCGGCCCGCCTAGATAACTTGCTACCTTCAACAGCAATTGATGCTCGATAGTACAGACTAGTAGAGCGTGACTTGCACCATTCAGTAGACAGTCGATGCTTAGAAAAAGAATTTCTACTGCTTTGGACAATAGGCCTTGTGCAGAGGTCCATTTTTTGCGTACGGCGATTATATTGCATTGAATTTGCCAATGCCGTTTAATGATCTTAATATAAATTAAGTCAAGCCGCCCCGACATCTATTACCACCTGTATTGTGGCTCTAAGGCTCGTCTTACCATCAAAATTTCATTTTAAATTGTTAAGTAAAAAAATTCTCTGAATTGAATAGTTTTTCACTTCACAACAATTTGGATATCTATTTTCTGTCATTTTTTTATACTCTTTGATTTATGTCAAATCGACAAAACTTTCTTCCAAATTCTCAAGCAGACCTTTAGATTCTATACATACTGGTATATGTACATGTTTAGCGTTTTTCGAAGTTCGTCACACATATTAATTGGCAACAACTCAATCTCATTTGCGGACTTATGTATTTTATGCTTCACAGCTTAACCACGCAAGATAAGGCAGCTAGCACATTTATAAAGAATGACACAATTAAGTGTTTCTACCTCCCGCCCCTGCCGTTCCCCCCTCGGGGGCGAATTTTTAGGTAGTCTATGAGCCGCTGTAGACGTGACTACCTCCCCTATGATGTGCTTGCTTCTTTATATGCCAATAATAAGGTTCCACTCGCACCTAAATACACATGACTGTACACAACCTAAAATATTTAGAAGGTAATAACCATGTCCCGATATGTTTGTGCTTCATGCAAGCGTCATATTGTATATCGCAGTAATATGCAAGAATCTTTTCTGTGCTATCTAGAAGCTATGTGTTTCGAGCTAGTTGACATCAATGATCGCTTCTCCGAAACGATAACTGCCTGTCGTTGAATGTTGGTCGCTTTGGAAAGCGCGAACTTTTTCGTCGAAGTTATACGCTACTTTTGTTCATATAACTACATTCACTTTCGAAGCACTTCTGCATGAGCAATGCACGTTGTATCCGTACTTTGATTTGGAAACCGTGTATTAAAAAAAGTTATATAAATTGTAAGTGGTCTGCCCTTGTACGGTGATGGAAGCCAGTCTCATGACCTCCTATCGGAAAGAAACAGAATTATATGATCAGATAGATTCTGAAATGCTTTCCTTAACGTTGTGAACGCGGAAGTAGGACTTAAGGTAAAAATGGAGATCAAAGTTATTGAGAGGTTACGATCCGTTTTATGCTACTTCAAGAGCGATGGCGCCAATTTCCGAAATTAAAAGAATGACCTAAGGATGCAGTATACCTGAAACAGCATTTATACTTCATGCGAACGAAAAAGATTTAATACACGAAAGTAATCTATTTGGATAGGGTCTGGAGTTGCAAAGTCCATATAATATGTTAGATGTAAGATTAGCCTATGAAGGAAACTGAACACTGTGCAATCGGTAACCGGAAATGGGGGTGGGCAAAATCTGCCACTATTATAAATCATTGCCACTGTTTTTTTTTTTTTTTTCTGTAATAGAAAAGCAAGTGCTGCTATTAGATCTGGGCTCGCAAGAAAACGCTGACGCTATGATCAGTATAGGGCCATAAGGCAGAAAGAATAGGATTTATAATTTGTTTTCAGAATATTTAGCTTCTCAATGATTTTAATTATGGTTCTTATTGGGCCTAAAGCTGGCAACCTTTATAATGATAGCAAGCATGAGGCGGCAAGCGATAGGCTCGATCCAGTCGACTACTACGATTGATCATATTCTTGGCTGTGACGCTCACGATCCAATATATCATCTGTGTTTTTATGTGCTGAGTGTTGTTTAAATATATTATGCATTTGACCATTATGTATTCAAAGGTCTAACGAAATTATAACTTAGTTCGACAAATGATGGTTTCATTTGAGGATCCCAGTAACTTTCGATGTTTACTTAATATTTCAATATTAAGTTTACATCGAAAAAGAGATAAGTTTATAAATTGCAGTTTTTCTCATCTATTACCAGTGATAGCTAATTGCTTATATACTTGTATGGGCAGATTAATATTAAGCGCTTTGATTAACAGATTGACAAGTGGTCCACACCTTTGTTGCTATTTTTTGACTACTGGTCCGTAGACCTGTCTGCGAATTTTAATTAGGTTATACGCCCGGGAAAATCGAAATACCTACCATTTTTTTTTATACCATGCTATATAGTACATCATTTGTTCGGTAACAAAGAGGATTTCCAACGCTATTTATAGCCGAGATCGACTGTTTGCAGTTAGGCGATCTATAGTCTGCAGAATAACAAGATACGTATGTGGCACATCAACAATATACTTTATGTGAGTACAGAGTACATCGCAGACGTAAACAGTAGCCCAATGGTCTATCAGGATTTAACAAAAAATGCTGGAATGAGTAACAAAATAAATACGTAAATGGCATAGCAAGAACTGGGAGACGACTGAGCTCACGGCTAAAGACTCCTCCATTAAAAACACACACGGAACTTAAGAAGCTCTCTGTTTATATTATATGTTTAATAGGAACTTTCATTAGTCGTCTCATTCGATACAAGTCAACAATTTAATTACATTTAACGTATGCTGCTAGCAGGCGTTGAATAAACACCCAAAGGATAGCAGTTTAAAGCCATTCTTGTTCGGAGACGATAAACACATGGAACAAACACGTAAATAAATACTAATTAACGAGATTAGTGTATATAAGAACGTAACGAAGCCAATTTTACACGTTGCGACCATGAAGCCTCTTATACTTCGTACGAAGTCCTACCATCTTGTTTGAATGTCCTGATTCAGATTCAGAATATCTCGGTCCACATGTGGATAGCGTTCGACGGATTCTCGGACCTTGTGTACCTGTTAGATATTGCCATTCAGTTCCGAACGGGCTATCTCGAACAAGGCCTTATGGTTTGCGATGCTAGTAAGCTTGCCGGACACTACCTACGCTCCAGGTTAGTCACAATCAAATTAACAGACACCATCAGGCTAACAAGAACCTGTGCTGATAATGCTAGCGAGTACAATAGTAGCATGTATGTAATAACCTCTACCGCCGCAACTTATGGATGTGTCAGCATTATGGCAGTACCTCGAAGTAGAATTGAAAAACAGCTAATTGATGTGTGCTGAAAGCTGTGCTTCAGGCATCTTTTAGCTGTCGCGAAGGACGAAGACTTTCATTTGTATCTGGGAAATTAAAATAAACAGATTAGGAATTTAATATTTCTCGCTATTTGTGGTTGTGCCGCGCTACAGGAGCTTTTTGATGGACATTGTCGCCCTGACCCCACTCGACCTCTTGCAATTAAGGTTTGGATTTGCGCCATTACTCAGGTACATAACTGTCCTATGCTACAGCGTATTTTTCATTAGGAACACTCCAGTTAACCTAAACAATGTTAGAGATATTTTAGCACAAGAAGTAAACCACTTCATTGAAATTGATACAACATCCCACTCCATATGGCACAGTTATAAATGGCCGGAGCGAAAATGAGAGTTGAAACTCAGTTTAATCTAAAATAAAGCAAGCGTAACGTAATTATGCACACGTTTTTTTGCATAATTTTTACCGTTGTTGTTGCTGCTGCTGCTGCTGCTCTCAATTGGCGTCACAGATTCCCCCGATTCATCAAGGTATACCGCTGTTATCGATTCTACTACATGGTTGAGAGTCGCACCATTTATCCGAACCTTTGGCGGGTCGCCAACTTGATCCACATCCTTCTTCTGCTGTCGCATTGGTTCGGCTGTTTTCACTATATACTCTCTGAGTTCGAAGACTTCCGCGGCGCCTGGGCGTACACAAATCCGCACAAGGCCAACAACTCCGAGTGGCGAGCCATTACCCGCAAATACGTTGCCTCCGTATATTGGTCCACGCTGACGTTGACCACCATTGGCGGGGATCACGTCACACCCAGCTCAAACTTGCAGTAAGTTCAAACTTAAGTAGCGGCGTGCCAGTTATCTACAAAAGCCTTCCTGCTCGGGACGAATTTTCCTGCGGCAACTCTTCCTACCTGAAACCATGCAAATCACCAGTCCGATTTAACTTGACGCCGTGTCCTGTTTATAGACAACTGATGGTCATCGGATTAGGATTTGAACAGGGCGAGGTTTTATTTCGAAAACTGGGTTTAGAACCGGCTTAGCAAATCTTGACTTTACATAAACGACCCGATATTCATAATAACACGAGTTTATTAGGAATATAACGATTCATAACGCTAAACGTATTTTTGTTATAATGATTACAGATATGCATTTACGATTCTCTCGTATCTAATTGGCGTGTTTATATTTGCCACAATCGTGGGTAAGTAAGTTCAATTGATATTAGTCCTTTCTCAGGCTAGCTTATTATATTCGTCGAAATAGACTACCTGCTAACAAAACCAAGCGTCAGTGCCGAAAATAAAGCGACCAAAATAATTAAGCAAGCTACAGTTGTAACCAGATTTTGTCAAGAGGCACTTTTACCATCGCTGTTAGGTCTGATTTTATATGCCTGCATTCAGCGAGCTCTACTATGCAGTCGTGCTTCTTTGTTATTCAAATGCTAGAAGGATGGATAGTCGCACTTCTTTAAACGGTCCATGGTCTACAACAATTCTACTAAAATACACAGCTAGTATAGTTTTTGAGTGATGTACCCCTAACTGTGCATCGGTACATAGAGCTGAGGAGTTTTTTCAAAACAATTAGGTGCGATCGCACCTCTAATGGCTGCAACTAGGCATCATCGTGTGTACACGAGGCCTCTATCCCAAATATCAGAGCATTGAACTTTGATAGGTACAAACGGAGGTCGAACGAGGCAAAGTGGCCTAGATAAGTGCAGTGGTATAATATAGAAAAGGTGCCTAACTCCATGCTCGTAATATTTCAGGACAAGTAGGAAACGTCATTACGAATCGAAACGCGTCACGACTCGAATTTGAACGTTTACTGGTAAGTTTAATTCCAAGTCACGTGTCCTCACTAATGGATATCACCGTTGTTCATTGGATCTATATCAATACATTTTTCTATACTGTAACTAGATATATGACCGAAGGAGCCTATTCGAGGAAAAATCAAAGGACAAATCATGATAAATCTAGTTACTTCAAGACAGTTGAAATCAAAACTCCACTTATATACGACCAGTAAGCTTCGACTTGTTTCTACCCCATCCACTTAGTATCGGGCCTACGCGACATTTATATAAGCAAATTTGTTGCTTTACGATTTCTATGAATCTAATAGCAGTCGCAGCTTCCCACGGAAAGTTGTCAGAAGTGACTCACTCGACAATTGCGGTTAGGCTACCTACCGTGTTAACCAGCTGGTTGATTTTGTTCAAAATCGTCGGCTATGATGACCTATTGACGCCCGTTAAAACCTTGATTTCAATGAAAAAGCAAAAAATACAACAAAATGGTAATGTCTATTTGAAATCAAGACGGATATCGGTCTGAATTGCACCCGCCTAGAAGTGATTGTCATATATCAGATATGTCAGACAACATAGCATTTATCTCCAGGACCTACTTGTTAGTATGAATTCAGTTTCAACTATGTGCGTTGATAGGTTGTCAGTGATCACTTCGTACAAAGAGATATACTTAGTGGACCTAAATCTTTTCCATCTCCCATCTGTCGCAACTAGTGTGCCAAAGTATTATCAATGAAATATTTTTTACGGCATTATAGCTAGCAAGCTATAATTGATTAAGGCAGTCAACTTCGACGAACGCATGTCCTCGTTTTACTTTTATGCTGTTTGCATTAAGCATTCCCTTAGCATGGCCTAAACCTCGTCGATAACTGTTTTCTGGGCTAAGAATCTAAATGGGTTCCATGCTTTTGTATGTAACTCTTCTGTAATAGACAGGCTATCTACAGATCGCGCGGAGGTAATGTTTGAGTCGCTCTTGTGAGAACCTTCGAATTTTAGGCTTCATTTAAAATAACAAATGTGACAAAAGTTACTTTTTTTTTCTGTGCAGCTGCGGCTTCATTAACATCATGCTAACCTGTGTCCCTACTTTTTTGGGACGTTAACATACAAGGAAGTTAGAAGCCCTTCGGAAGTCTGGACCTTAGTAATAGCCATGAATTAAAAGAAGCAACACGCTATGGATCTGTCGGAGCAAGGAATGCTGGACATTGGTTGTTCTTTCATATATTTTTCCTGCGAGGTTTTTGTGAAGAATAAAAACAAAGTTGAAGCTGCTAAGCGCGCGATTTCATCAGAGTCTCAGAAATTATAACTCAACAGTCAGTGCTATCGGTTCCTAACAGCCTTAACATATCCAACATACATCTCCACTGAAGCGAAAATTAATCTATTTTATCGAGTATAATTATTTTATACTAATGTAAAGACGAGCCTCGCTTATGCTTGAAATAGCTTCAAATAATGTAAAGCCACAGCATATTTCAGAACCAGTTTCCAGTGCAATGATAAGATAACGTGTTCCATTTTCGAACGATGCAACCGAGCGATTATTACGAGCCTTATTAATAATAGGAACACTGAACTCCCTGGAATAGTCAAGTCTTGCTTGTTTCAATTTGGCCCTTCTCACACTTTAGTGATTTACCTTGCAGTATATACTAATGTTCGTCAATTCTAAAATCGCAGTAATTACATCTTTCTGATGTCTGCTGGTCCACTCGCCTCCTAACATCTCTCCCAAGTCAGCAGGTAATAGAGTTCGTATTGAATTCGAAGCTGACACTTAGCACGAGTATCAACTTCAGTTCGAAACAACTAAAGCTTTGTGCCCGATTTGTACCCCTCTTCCGGTAGCCGAACATTCAGTACCCCGATTTCAGTAGTACGTACTAGATTGTATACTTGACGAACGATCTCCATAGAATGATTGAGACCTTTTTACTTTCAATAGCGTACATTGACTTCATCTTCCGCGGCTGGTTCTTGCAAAAGACATCTCTAAACATTAGTCTAAAATATAGTGAATTTTATATCAGAAACATTTTCAACGAGCTTCAACGTTATTGTCTGCGGAACGTCCATGCAGCAATAGGTAATCCTCATTCGAATTTAGGTTCCAGCTCATTACTTGATATGTGACCAATAACGCGATCTAGCCGGTCTGCTGTGTTTTCTCGATTAAACACGGCGCTTAGTAAAATCTGATACATTACAGTCGAACAAGAAGAACTCCAGATGCGATACCTCTTGGATTAAAAGCTTTTCCCATTGAATTTTAAACTAAGAAAGAGTATTTCTTATTTATAGCGCCGTCTTAAAGGGCAAACAACGCTCATCAGTTGGACTCTATTGAAGCAAGAAGTCGTTCCCAGTTTGTTTCTTATCAAAAGTGAGGGCTAACCAAAAACTTTTGCAGGATGGGGCAAAACTGTACATGCGCCACCACAAAGTGCCACATCAAATGCAGAGAAGAGTCCAGCGCTGGTATGACTACTCATGGTCACGGTACGTTCAAAAGAGTTGGGCTGCTTTGAAGACATCCGACATTTGCCATTTGAAATATTAATAATCTCAACAGGTCTTATGTATCGGGCAAAGCGACTCATGGGGGCGCTTGCATCCAACGCCAACTCGCAAGGCTAAATTAATCTGAGTGAACTTCAGAAAGGCGTCCTCACTGTAGTATGTTATTCTCACCGTAAGACCTTCAGTCACCATTTAAAGACTATTCAGAGTAGGCCTTTATTCTTTACGAGCACATGAGTACATCCCCAATACTTTGAGACATTCAAGTGCAAACTACATGTGATTTTTTGGTACCTATTCAGCGGCCGTATGCGCGGTGGAGGCGATATCAATTCGGCGCTGGGAAGTCTTCCTGATAAGCTCAAGACAGAGCTGGCGCTCCATGTCAACCTTAAGACTCTGAAGAAAGTGACAATCTTCCAGGAGTGCCAGCCGGAGTTCCTCCATGACCTTGTGCTTAAGATGCGTGCGTACATATTCACCCCGGGCGACCTGATCTGCAGGAAGGGCGAAGTGGCACGAGAAATGTTTATCATCGCTGATGGTATCCTTGAGGTGCATAAAGACTCTTCACATTTTCATAGCATGTGTGCGCTCTAAGGCAATTCTTTTTCAGCAATCGGCTCGAAGAGCTAATCTAAAGCAGAAAAAAGCAAACCTTCCTTGTCTTCCTGCGATTATCTCTAAATAGTTTTTTTCCTATGGCAATCCTTTTAGGTAATAAGTGAGACGGGTAAGGTGCTCACGCAGATGAAAGCTGGCGATTTCTTCGGCGAAATCGGCATACTCAACCTGGATGGTTTCAATCGTCGTACAGCTGATGTGCGCTCTGTCGGTTACTCGGAGCTGTTTTCGCTGTCCCGCGAAGACGTCCTCTCGGCCATGAAGGACTATCCAGAAGCCCAGGAGATCCTGCAGGCCATGGGTCGCAAACGCCTGATGGAAGCAAGGCTCGCGGCTGCAAACTGCGTTAACACAAGTCAAACAAACACAACCTCTAATACAACGTTTAAACAGCAGGTATGTCCATTTGAGACATTGGCAGTGCTTAAGCTATACTACAACTCTGTAATCCATACATTGTAGCAGCTAGATCTACCCTTGTTTGCGGTTGCAATCTATACGAAACGAATATTGGACGTGTGGTATTATATGTAGTCTATACTATATATACATAAATGATGCCGAGTCGTTCTCTCCGAGAACCTTTAGTGCCTTAGGTACAATTTCCTACTCATTAAACGACCTCACAATAGGGAACAAAACACAGCTATAAGATAGGTATACTTCATTTTAGTCTTCTGCTAGATAAAGTTTAAACAGTACGTAGGTAGACACAATTCGTCGAATAGCAATATCAGGATATCCTTAAAACTCATTTATTTAGAAGCCATCATTCATTATCTTAATCATTGCAGTTTATAACCAGTTGAGTGATTAAATTTATATCACGCTATTTGCGACTATTTGAAAATATTACCATGAGGTGTTTACGGTTACTTGTTATGGACCGCTAGAGAAGCTGGCGCACAATTTAATCCTTATTTTAGTTCTAGAGACATAGACGTCTCTGTCTGGTTGTCTATCCATATGTGTGGGCTCGAAACCGGGTTTGCTTACTGTGTCACTGTGAAAGAGCTGTTTTTTCTTCTTGGTCTTTTCGCTCTTAGGTTGGTGGTGGTGAGGTCGAGGCCTTTTGCGTCCGAGAGTCGGCTTCAAGCTTGAGCTTGTGTCTTTTTTTTTGTAAACCGGCAGGAACCATTAGGAAAGTCAGCCACGCCGGTCACCCAGACTTTCTACTTTTTGTTAGTCTAACAAACGACCACATTCGCTGTAGAGTGCACGAGTCTCGCGTATTCAGGCAAGGAACGCACGGCGACGTGGACAAAGGTACCGAGGCTCGCTCAGCATCTGCTAACCACCGTTCACTCGTTTTATGCAAAGTCGCGCATGCTTCAATACCCAATGTCTCCCATCGCTTGTCTTCTTTATTTTCGACGACTAACGATGTATGTACATGCGTAAGGAACGGGACAGTGTTTCGTAATAGCGCGACGCAGTAGCGGCGTGTACAAGAAGGTTGCTTTCACAATAGTAGCTTTACGCTCTTTTACGTGAAAGCCGTGCCAGACATCACTGCATTGGTCTGCGTACACATTTGTCGAAGTACGGCATCGGCGTATGAAGCGCTTAGCTTCTTACGTGGCAGGCAAGGCGATGTGGGGATGGCCGAGGGTGCTTAAGGGATACATGAAACAAATGCCGGCTTCGTTCACACGACAGGTAATGGGACTTGTCAACGTCATCTTCGTAGCTGACGCCACTTTTACCGCATAGGGAACAAGCAGTAACTGACGTCAAGTGATGGCTGCCTGGTTTCGCTGTCTTCTTCATGTCCGTGTCAGTAATACAGGTTAGCTTGCCCCAGCGGCTCCCAAGACGTGTCGTGTCCGCACTTTCCTGTGATTGACAGCTTGCATGTCAACCAATAGCAAAGAAGATGATACCTTTTGGCGCCGCTCTGCCTCTCAAAAGTCATTTTACATACCCAGGCCCGAATTTAAACTACGATGTGCTAAGCTCGCCCTACCCAAACAGAGAGAAATCGCTGTCTGTGCACTCAAGAACGCGTATCGCTTTGTGACCGAACCGTCAATGCATCAAATAGATTGTCCTTCTATTCTGAAGTGTTACCTCAAAATAGGTCTTTGTCCGTCGTAGTAGAATAGTAGCAAGGAAAACAAGCATTGTCGATTGGCATACATATCGATAATAACGGGCGCATAGAAGTATACAAATTGCGTCTGCGGCTTAGTGTGGCTTGCTTCAACAGGCACAAAAGTGAGAAAAAAACGAGAACTGGTTCGGTAGATCGATAATGGTGGTTACTCTCTCACTAGTCGTCAACAGGCTTGGCCGCACGACCCTAACAACCTTTTCCAGCCACAACAACAATATTGGCGAAACACTGTAGAAAGGGTCGGTAATGAAAAAACACTCATTCTACGGTATTGAAGAAGAGGCAGTGGCGATGACCTACAAAGGCTTGGAAAAAGAGGATAAAAATAACATTGGCTCGTAATTCGTTTCTCATAATCATGATTAACAACTGAATGAGCTATCCTCTTCATGGTTGACCCGTATCAACCGGTGGCTTCTGCTGAAGTAGGTGCGGCAGCTTATTCCTTCGTTCTACTTTTAACACAGGGTCTCATTCGCTTCATCCTTTCTTGGCCCTTAGTCTGTCGCTGCGCCGTCTCCAGTGCAGCCCCTATATATTCGCTTCCGATGCGACCGCTTCGTCTCCTGTTCCACGAGCCTTCAGAGCACTGGCTAAGTAACGATTGTCGGTTATTGCGATTTTAAGAACCTCATCGTTTCTCACTCAGCTAAGAGAATTGCATTGAATACATCATTTGGGATGTGCGATAAAACAGCTATAACAGACAAATACACAGTAAGAGTTAACAATACAACGTTTTTTCATCGATTAATCCTTCTTGCTAACGTACTGCGCATGTAACAGAATATTACAATGATATGGATTTGACGTAGATAACAATCAATACTACTGCAGTCTATCTAACCTAACTATACCTTAGAACAAAATGGAAAACCTAGAAAAAAACCTTAGGACAAAAAATTTTGTCCATATTTGTTTAGTCCCAAGATACCTCTAGAAGTATCAGGACTTGTTACGGATAGCGTCACCTATGAACTGATGGGACAACAGGATGCATACGAATGGCTATGTATATGGTGCACCTGCACCTACAGATAATTACACAGTTCTCGGCATCGCCAAATATAGAAATCTGTTTTCTTCACTTGTCTGGTTTCTTCTTTCTTCGTCCTCTTCTTCTTCGCTTCTGTTTCACTAGACTAATAACGCTTTTCGTGGATGAGAAGCCATATAAAGTTACTCGAAAACTTCTTGAAAAGTTTGTTTTACTAAAGAAACGTTTTCATCATTCAATCTTATTATTTAGCCACTGTCTAACGAAAATAATTTTCGTGCCTGTTGCGGTCCTCATAGTGTTGTATTTTCGTTTCATTTTATAAACTAATCAATTGATCGATCTCATCCCTTAAAACCATCTACCAAGCCGAGAGGTGTTTCCGTCTCTCATTTGGTACTCAGGGAATCAATAATCTAATCATATTTTTTTCAGTACAATCTGTCTGGGTGTCAGAAACTTTCCGATAAGGTATGGCAGCTTCAGCCTCTCACCTACTCACGAGATATAGAATCGATCGCTCCTTCCGTTTTCTGCTTTGGCCTGCATCTTAGGTTTCCGAGCAGCTCCTCCCACAACATGATTGTCTACACCGAAGGACAAGGCCTTACGCGACAGCCCTCTATCGTTACGTCGAATACGATTGACGAGGCACTGACTCGTGAATAAGGGGACTATAAACAGAATGCGGATAGAATATTGGCCTATCTCCTTTCAGATCTGTTTTTGGCAGTGTAAGCGAAAGGCGATAAGAAATTTAGCACCCTAGGTAGCTTCCAGTCGACGCCTATTAGAAACGTGGTTTTGTAGGCGAATTCGATTTCATGAGTCCTTTGCCACTGCTGTTTGGATAGACAAAGGAGGAATCGAAAAAGGTCAATTGTTTCTGAAAAAAAGGATCAACCCTATTACCTTGATAAGTCCGCTAAGAAACTCTTAGCAAACAGTGATAAATGCTGTTTCCCTCATTCACAGAATTGCGTATTTCAAATAGGATATTGAGCACGCTACACTGAGGAACAAAGGCAGAATCGTTAACCGAATTCAATGTACAAACGGTGATCGTTAGCACAACCAAGCAAATCATGGCATTTGAAGCCATGTACACGCGTTTTCATGGTATAGGCCAAATAGGAAACGTCTCGAAAATTAAACATGTTTGAGTGATAGGTCCACGGCCATATTTGCCTGGGCGCGTCAAGTTGAAATCAACTATTCCAATGAATAACATGAATCACTAATTTTTTTAAGGAGAGTATATTAGTTATAAGTTGTTAGGTTACCATATCCTGACCGATCCGTTATCTCATTGCAGACATTGTTGTCGAATAAAGTGGTATGGGCTGCTTTTTTGTTACGGATCGTTTTTTTTTTTTTTTTTTGTTTATTATCGCGTTAAGCACTGGCTAATATTCGACGGAACTACCCGAACAATATCGTATAACAAATACCGACATCTATCATTCTTGCAAAATAAAAATGAAAGCAGCATTAGAAAAATTATTAACTTTTTTACTTACAAAACAGTCCTATAGGGATAAAGCAGTCCAACTCTTTGTTTTTTTCAGATGTAGTTCGGTAGTTTTAAATAATGCTTTCAAAAAGTACGTCAACCCCTATTTGACCCTTTTCGAATTTTCATCCTAATTTTTTTATAGGTTCGCGGCATTTTTTCATACTGATTATTTGTAAGACTGCGTATAGTTGTCGGAAACATGTGGATAATAGGTCCTGTCATCGGTTACAGATTGGAAAAAAGATTAAAAAGTAAACTATGATCAACCGGCAATCATATTAAGGTTGCTTTTATATAAAGTCAGAGGTAAAGGCCCTCGTATATATACCTTTTATGGGAGCTAATTTGTCACTAGACGCACACGTATACAAGGATACATCCGATTTAACAGATTTTCTCTTCTATATTTCAGGAGCTGAACAGGCAATTCCAAGGAAATGCAGGGACATTATCAGGTTTAGGCACAGTCGATTCTGTAGCACCGACAGGCGCTGGCTCCTCACAAGGATCTACGCAGTCGGTACGATCTCTCTCTACTCATGGCCCCCGATCTATGGATACCATCCGCAAACTCCGTAAGGACCTCAAATACCTTTTCAGAAGTAGGACCCTCGCCCCTAATGCATCGTGAGTACCAGTTTTTCACATGTGATTTTCAATCGAATTGATGCGGCTACTAACCTAGCTATACAGTAATTTGCGCTGCTTTATGGTTACCATGGCATAGAGTTACCATGCCGTTTCAAAAATCCATTGCAGAAAATAGAAATAAATCCTGCAAACCTATTCTGGCTAGGCCTTCTAGTGGAGGCAGGTCCTTTATGCTGTACCGAAAAGATGGCCATGAGGGCTTGTTCACACAGTAGGAATAGCCGAAGGTGTTACAGATATTCGAGTATTAGATATATGTTTTGGTATGGCAAATAATGGCAGCTTGAAATAAACCTAGCTTTCTGTTGGACAATAGGCCTGAGCCTGTCGGTGAACTTCATTGACAAGCAAGCATAATTTTAAAGTCATCCGTCATATTCTTACTGCGCCAATCCGTTCTTCCATATAATTTTGAATAGCATTATATAGCTTGTCATAATTAAGCGTTTATATCATATGTAAAATTAGATTAGCGCGAGTGTATACTAGTATATATAGTGTATATAACATTATAATAAATAATATAATATATACTATAGTGTATACTGTTCTTACAAAGAGTAGAATATAATGCCTCCAGGGAACAAGTCAGATTTTTCATTTATCAGTGCGGCTTTTGGCTTGAGAAAATGCATTATCGGGAGTATGTTATCCCACTAAATTTAAGGCAGGAGTGTATACACCTATTTGCAAATTACAAGACCAAAAAAGAAGCCGATGAACTTTGTGACGCAGACGAGAGGAACACCACGTCGTCAAGTCGGACGGAAACTTCCCCAAAGGCGCTTAACCCCGACGCCAATCCCGAGGTCGTGCTTACAGATTTATAGGCTGGTACAAGCAGTGCTCCGTCCGTTCTTACACAATATAAGCGTTACGCATTTTTCAAAATTTGCTACCGTGAGGTAAAACGATGTTTTAGACGAAGTGCGTTACTTGTCCACTCAGTGAGGTTATCTCGCCTTCGATATTCTAAAGCAAGCGATTGGTTTTCTGCTGCTGCTGTCACTATTAAACAATCAGAAAGACAATACTTTCGCCTGTTGTACCCTGCTTGTATGGCTGCTACTGATCGGTACCGGATCGTACACACGGGCTATGTTGCCATTGTGAATGGCCTGCCTCGTCTGTAGGAGTCTCGAACATGCAATAATATTGAATTATCAAATCCAAAAGCAAGGTACTATCGATAGATCTATTCGAAACTATTCCTTCCTTCTGCTAATACATATTTGCTACTGTTACATTGATAAGTACTATTGTTTACTCGTACTTTTGGGCGCCTTACCGCTACGCAATCCTCGAAGGCAAATAACAAACTACACAGCGAGATCACGGTGGACACGGGTGGTGTTTCTTGTGTCTACTCAATACGGGGCTTTGTAAAAGCGCTATAGAAGACCTCGCTACAACAAACAATCCAACCCTTACAAACAACATTATCCTTCGGGGGATAAATTTGGCATGTGAAAGAAACGAAGATTTCTCAACAACGATATGATCGCTTCTCTTGTATTCAAGCTTGTTTGTTTACTGCAAGTTTCCGTTGTCGCCCCCTATCGTGCTTTGCCAAGAATAACAACTGACACTGAAGCACATTATCCTGATCAAATATGTCCTTTTTAAACCCGATCCTGTTTATACAATCATTTCGTAATGGCTGAATTCTGCTTAAGTGTTACATTAAGAGTATTGGTGATAGCCAAAACGTACTGATGTAAATAGCATGTAACTCTATCCTACATTAGCCTTGTTATTTTGGCAAAATTCCAATAACAGCTGTCCCTCGACTGTTCCTCTACGGCCCCTATTCTCTTAGCGAAGCACAACGTACAAAAGAAATTGGAAAAAACAATGAAGAACTTCTATTTGGTATCACTTATAGGTAAGAGCGGTAATCTATCAGTGTCACAATATGTTATTCAGTAATTTCCTGTTGTACGATATATGCGTGGGAGTGCCACCAATTCATTTCAAACTAAGGTATTATTATGATTAAATAAACTATACGCCACGAAGATCGATGACTTTTGTCATCTTTCTATGAATACCATAGTCCTATCAATGTAGAGTTATTGTGCTTTCTGGATGAAAAATTGTGACATTGGCCTTTTAAACGGGCGCCACTAACTCATAATGCACGATTTCTATCCAAACCTACCAGATGCACAGCATCATCACCTTTGTATCACTTAGCATCATGGTTTGGGCTTTGCCGCATATTGGAGAACACATCTTCTTTTGTTTTTTTAATTTCAGTGTCATTCCCATACGTGACCAATCTTTAATCACCCGTAATCAACCCTATTTTTCTAGCCAATTTTACAGTAAATTATTTTTTTTATTATAAATTATTTTTCAATATCGACCTTTTTTTATAGCCAGCTTTCTTCAAATGGTTTAACATTGTTTGGTGGTAGCGTCATTAGAAAAAGCACGTTAGATTAGAATTTCCAGAATGACGTATTTTGACCAACCCCTGGGTATATGTAGGCCTACGTAACATTCGTACCTTTATCGTGATACAATCGTATGATATAGTAAATAATTTTCTTAGATTCAAAGTGCTCTATCTCTAGTATAAATAAATACAATAAGAGTATTCTAACAGCGTTACCATAGCTACTACGGCCCAATCGCTCTGCTTCCAAGTAATAAGGTTAAGGTCGATTTGAGATAGTGGTTTCTTTAAAGCCACTTACTTCAGAACACAATGCGTTTTTGACAAGTTTTTATATATGTATATATATATTATAATGATAAGAAATTTGACTTTAGATTTATGGGCATCGCTAGCTAAGCTGTGGGTCTATCATATCGACTATCAACAAGAATTATAATAAACCGGTCCAATTTGAGAGGAAAACACCCTGCAATGTTTCGGAAATGTGTGTTTGCTATATATATATATATATATATAAGGCCTTATACAAACTATTGGCCTTAGTTGTAACATCGGTGCACTAGTCAGCGATTGGACTCGAGAAGGTTATCCTGGCAGTGGTATACGTCGTGCTTTTTAATGGGTCTTTTGGTGCGTGACACGCGGCAAAAACGTTACCATTGTACTAACGATGCCGTCCCCTCGAAATACATTTAACGCAGTACGACTAACATCTTTTAGAGACCTGAGTGTCTATTTCCGTTTCGGTTTAGAAGTTAGAACATTTTGTTTCTGTACATATAGCTAATTCTATATGGCCTGTCTAGTGGCGAAGCGGTGCTATTTCGGATACCTCTCTGAAGATACTTTTCGAATGGGATTTCTCAATCCCGTCCGTAGTGTGTTTTCAGTAAGATTCGAGTATTTTTAGTACGGCTGAGCTATTTATTTCTCCGATAATTTCCATACAGGCTTCAGTATAAATCAGAGCATGGATTAAACCACGTTGTGCTCATATCCGGCTCATTGGCGATTGCTCTTCCGTATCACCAAACGGAGTCTTTTATTATACATCATACGTTTACGAATCTAGTGGGTCGATGAAAAGTCAGCCTATTTTGGAAATGCTTACACAATTGTATATAAGGAGCACACAACAGCGACGCAGTTGACTTTGCTAGAAAACGAACGAACAGCAGCGTACGTAGTCAGTCTTTTCGGCCCACTAGGACCGTTTGGTGCAAAACGGCCCTATAAACCGTTTGTAAACTGGTTCAGCCGTATTATAGGCTGCCCACCCCTACATACAGTAGTATATATATATATATGCTTAGCAGTGTGTTCATTCTATCCCTTTAATCGAAGCGGCATAACGAAGTTTTGAACAAAGACTTCGTGCGCCAGTTCATGCGGCCTTTGGTTCGTGCTAAACGACAGTAACAATCTCATGGACCCTACAAATGGACGCAGCCAATCAAGGAAGGCTAGGTCGCTACCAAGGACGATTACCGGCAGAGTAGATAGACCGGAGACTCGCGTGTCATCACTACAGTAACAGCAACTACATCCAAAGGCTCTTCATTTGTGTCTTTCATTTTTTTTTTGCCCAGATCGATCCACCGAACCCTTTCCAACGTTAGTAGGAGTTTTGCCCCAACATTTTATCGTTGAAGTGCAGCAGGACTGCCACTGTTCCCCAGCACTCAAAGCAGCAGTCGCGACGTAGCTCACAGTCTTCTTTGCTAAGTAGCAATCAGAGCAACAACAAAATACAGCAGGCTTAAGGCCGCTCGTAATGGGCTCGGCCAGTGCGGCGGACGGCCTATCGGCGACCGCCTTTGTTATTTTAAGAGTGCGAACATCATGCAATTGCATTTATTTTTTCATTGAGGACATACTTATATGATATATTTTAGCCCTACACTCTTAGGACTAGTATCGCACAATGACAGGACAGCTGAATTCAGCGTAACCGAAACGCAGTAGATGCGAAAAGTTTAGCTAAAGGTTGCAGGTTTTAGTTGCTATTGTTGCTTGACCCTTTGTTGTTTTTGCAGAGATCAAAGAGGACAATATCATATAGAAAAAGCTATTTGAAAATTTTTCGCTGTTTGTCACTCGAAAGAAACGTTTAGTCTATCGCTGATATCGGTGTTTTTTTTACAAAGGATTAACTAAATTTAGCAATTATTATTGTAGTGCATGTACTCTTATTTTGTATCAGGTCTCACGCTGATCAATTGCCCCTAAAATTTACCATTTACCCATTTCTTATTTTAATTTATATATATCGCTTTGTGTTATTTAGTTTTCATTATATAAAACTAACCAAATGTTTCGATGATTGAGTATTAAATAAGTGAGCAATCAGAAGTTCCGATTTGTCGCTTTTGAGCGGTTTTAATTGTTAAGATTTTAACATTTTTGGCCATGACGATGAACCTTATCCGCCCTAAGTTTTCGTATTTGTACCCTGCTTTGTATATTTCTATTCTCAAGCAAATTGATTAAAGGCCTGTGTCGCGTACATGGGTGCTGCGGGACGCTAGGAGCACGTGTTTCCCATTTTCTGCCAGTTGTCCTCTGTCCAATAATTGGGAACAGGAGGTACCAGGAGGCACAAAGATGTGATTATGCATAGTTCAATACGAGTCTGCCCCCGGACTCCGATCGCGTGCATGCTCCTGCTTGTCAGTGAATTAGGGTACTTTTCTACTGCATCCTCTCGGATGTTTATATATTCGAATACGTCGAGCGAGCAGAAGAATACAGCTGGTAACCTCAAGGAGCAGCAAATTTATGGCTAATACGGATCGGCTGTCTTCGATTTTCAAAACGCGGATAAGCTGATAACATAACTTATAAATCCTGTACAAAAAAAGGGCAACTAGAGTTGATGCCCAAAAATAACAGTGTACTCACCATATTTTGGACTTACTAAGATCTTTGCTATGTGCGAACTTTGTGAAGCCTTAAAAGCTGTTAGAATTGATTCAAAGGAGTTCAGGTAGGGCAACTTAAACGTTCGTATAAGTTAGGACTAATACGGAACCCATTTTAATAACATGTTATTTTAAAGTGTACTAATGTAGTTTTTCTGTATACGTTGTAACACTCGCTAGATAAGTTGATCTTCCTACTTCCGATTAGTCATGTACGCTTATATTAAAATCTCGCGGAAATCCATAAGGAGCTGCGTTGTCGTCGAACGATTGAAATTGAAGAGAAAGTATAGCATAAGAGTACGACACACGGCCTCTCATTAGATACTTGGAGAAGGGTTGGCTTAACATAGGGGAAACGTGTTATTCTAAAAAAAAAAAAAAAAAAAAAACTATAGCAAATAATTATACTGATCAGATATGTTGTTTGGAAGTTAATGAAGACTAGATAGTAAAAGTTAGTGTATTTCCAGCCTTATGAATAGCTATTCAAACAGAAAGTTACTTAATTATCCGTTTAATAAGGTTTAGTTACAAGTATTCTTAATAACGAAGTAAACAATTAATGTTTAGCATGAGCATCTTTGATCTACGCTACATCGTCATCGAATTACTTACCGGTCTAAATTCAACATACACATAATTATTCTCTCTATACGTAAAAAAGAGTTGTCATATTATATCTTTAACTTCTTTTTATTATAACTGTGCTTGATAGAGTTAAATGTCCGTTATGATTGTAGAAATCCCAAAGGCAGGTTAAAAAAGTTAGCACACGTGAAGTTACCCCATTGGGAATTATAGGAAATAAAAACATAGAAAAGTGAATATTCTCTGCACCATTTTCACCTGTAAATATTTTCTGCATACTTTTGACAGTCTGGTGATACTCTGCGGCATATCGCAACGTAAATACTGTAACAGCTAGCTAAAAAAGTAAATGTACGTAGGGATTAAGCTTCATGTTCAAAAGGACGTAAATCGATTTTAAGAGCTTCCACTAAAGTAGAAGTTGCAAAAACGTGAGACTTAGCCTAATAAAAAAGTTCTGATTCATTAGAAATTCCAAAAGAAAAATCGCGAATTAGCTCTGTGATTCATTCTTAAAATAAAAAAAAAATTATCGAAAATTAGTTTATTCTTTCTTAGATCCGTTAAGTGTTAGTAGTAGTCCTGTCTGTTTCGAGTTTTTCGTGCGGTAGTCATTCCATCAGACTGCTGGGTTTCAGCATCAATCGAAATGTGTTCGTGCCCGAGTTTGAACCCAACGCACGACGTGTATTTAATATTGGTAGGCAAATACGTTACTCACTAAGCGATCGCGGGGACATTAGTTGTATGAGGTGGCTCTATTCAAATTCACAAAACCACCTCCTCAAGGCCTCCAGCAACTCTGTATCGTTGACTATGGTAACACATGTAAATATGAACGATGATAAATATTTCATTCTGGTGCACATGTCATGTACTATAGGTCCTGTTGCACCGCAGAAAATGCTTCCATTCGTCCGGGTTTTGGGAACACCTACCAGCACAGTAGTGGACCCCACTCACAACAGCAACCCCAGCAACTTCAATATCACTCACATGGAAGTAGCGCGGTAGCCAGTTCCGGTCCAACCGGAATGAACAAATCGATCACCCGTCTACTCAGGTAACACTCCTTAGCCAAAGTTCCGCAACCTTGAGATGAGTTGTCGCGGTCTTCTACTTCAGCCTACCAAGCCCTGTTCATCTCACAAAAGGCATTAATCTTAGTCGAAACGCTATACCTGGCCTTGACGACTAAAATTACTGAACAATATATGCGCAATAAATGAGCTATAATATCCTGTACGTCGTTCTGCATGCGTGCGGAAAGTAGTTTGCTTTCGCCATCTTTGTTATTTTGATCAATAATCTACGTCATATAGGTAATTACAAGTTGAGATATAAAACATCAGGAGAGATGACCATGGCCGCTGATAAACTAGACGCCGGATACCGCAGCATACATTGTGCAAGTGTTCGGAAACAAAACAACTTCCATAACTAGATAACTTTAAGATATTATGGTCAGAAAATCATCACTGCTAGATATGTGCATGCATAATGCGTATAGTCATTAGTCGCTCGCCAATAAAGTCTAGTAATGACAATGCCCAGTAATTTTATTTTTTCGTTATTTTCACGAGAAAAGTAACTTCTGTCGCTAAAAGATCTGTTTCGTCCCCGTCACCATATAGCAGACTTGCAAGTGAATTTCTTTATTTTAGCGTATCAATCAGGATAGCACCGGCTTGGTTTCATTTAAGTATAATAGTATAGAATGTGTAGTACTTGGGTCGTCCGAGATCGCCCTGGACAGCGACCGCTGCTTCGGATCAGTATTGCAAATTTTTATACGTTTTTTAGGCGTTTCGTCTTCTTGCCTGCGGCACTTGTTTCCTTAGCGCTTTTATTTTTGCTCCCCGCATGTAAGTATAACCACTAGTGAACACTCCGCTTTTATCCTCCTTTTAAGGCTCATTCGGTCGTAGCAGGTCCTTTTGGCATCGTCAAGAGACCTTGAGAGATTCTTGATCATTACCATAGAAATGGGGTTAAAAAGCCCTCAATAGCCGCACTACAAAATGAAAGCTAATATATTCAATTTCCCACCAACAGTAACAATGTGGTCCTTGATATTACTTACATATTAAAATGGTAATCTTCATTTTTGAATAAATACGTACATCTCGTCCGGATCAGGCCCCGAAAGATAATCGTGACAACAGTATAAACTTTAACGCCCCCATTTTGCCCATCTATCTAAGCCACTAAATGTTATTTATGTGACAATCCATCGTCTCGTTATAGAGCTGATAATACACTGCGTGCCTGTAAACGCCGCTGAATGAGAAAAAGTGGTGACGATTCAAGTCTTTGATCGTTTTCGCTGTTGCCCGCTGTCACTTACTATCGTCGTCATAAGGTGAACGAAGCACGCAACCTGCTCGTCATGAAGGGTCGCAGCAGCAACGGTATCTATGATCGATTGGTCGGCCCTGCCTTGCCTTTTCCTGTTTGTTCGTTTCTCTGATCAGTATCAGAGAAACGGCGCAACGTCAGTATAGGCTACGACCGGCGAACGGCACGTTGAACCGAAGGGCACACTTTGAAAATCCTTTGTCGCCGCTTCTACGCTGTCGTGGTCGTCGCTTCGAATATGACAGATGTGGCAGCTATCGTAAACTGCTGCAAACGCCGGTATCCGCTCAAACAATGCGAAGAACAATACGAACAAAATGGTATACCAACGTTTGAAAGGCACAGAGACTTCTGGTGGTTTTGAAGCGTTACCTGCTACGCAGATTGCATGTAGGCACTTGCCTGTACACAAATACAACACTGTGCCACCATTATATGTACTGGAAACCGTACTGGAAATGCTATATTGTCTCCCCAAAAAGATTTCACCTTCCGCCACTCCTCTCATACCCTTACAGGAAAATATTTCAAGGCTTTATTGGCAAATTTGCGGTTAACCAAGCAGTAGCATGTTAACGTTATATTTCAAAGAACACATGCATACGGGTCTTCGCTTTTTTGTTGGGTGTGCACTTCATAACGGTGTCAGCAGAAAGAATAGTAATGCTTTAGCGCCGCGTACAGGGCGTCTTTTACAAAAAAAGACATTGTTTTTACAAGGATTTTTGTTTGAAGTGAGTCCTCCAACAGGCCGCAATCAACGCACCGCGACTGTTCCCTTCTTACGACATATAAGGAATCTACTTTTGGTGGATCTCTTGAAGACACATTTCAAAGGTGGTTATTCAATTGGCGTTTGTTTTCGCAGAGTGAAAAGATTCTCGGTAAAACCAAGAAGGTCTAGTGCATGTTTTGCAGTTAGAGGCTATCGATCGCAGACATTCAGCTTCGCACCCGTGCATACATATACATACGGATCCGTCATACACACTGAAATACATATAGAGACGTACACGTAAAGCTCATTTGCATAAATGATAACAACTACTAGTTTTGAGCTATAGAATGATAAGATGTTTCTCATGTGCGTTCTAAATCCAATTGCGTCATTTGATTATGGAGTCATCTATTCACCAGTGCGCTATGACGACAACCGCCATCATTCATAAACGTCACTCGGTCAATGATCTATCTGACACTGTTCCTTTGTCAAACTGGAAAAATAACCGCTTATTCCCGGCTCCGTGTGCGATCATGCAGACGCTTCCATGTGGAAAATTTTCGCCAGACTTCAACCGGTGGAATCAACTCAATCAATCCACCGACCGCACCTTGTAAAGGTAAAGTGATTAACATTTCAATAGCTGTCATAATTGTTGTTATTATAATTTTTTGAGATTCACGTAGCCGTGGAACACCTGCATCTCTTACCTTACGGTCATACAGTACGATGTTAAAATCCACCGCGTCACACATCGATATAGACGGCATACGTTACAACATAAACGAGAAAATGCCCTCGCCAGAGTGACGACTGGCTGGACGCGATCTGAATCTTCAAGTTAGAGAAGGGGCCAAATGAAAACAGCTCTCATCAGAGCCATAGAGCTCTAATTCAGTGGAAAGGCTATTGCTATAGAAATCGTAGTCAAATCTATGCTCGTAACAGACACGAACTCTGTCGAGGATTACTACTTTATCTGTCAGGATTATCCGTACACACCAATAATGCTCTTTGCTCATGTGCCGGAGGACAGGTTTGGAGGGAACACGTACACCGGAGGCGACGGTTTTTTTTACACATACAAAGGTTTTCACAAAGGACAAAAGGTTACTAAAAAAAATTAATTTTCACGACGTATTTCTTAGTTCGTGGCTGTAATTACTTTACACTTTGAATTTTAGGTAAGTTCAACGGATATACAGTGGAAGTGAAGCCATATTTGTACGCAATAGAAAGGCCTGTGTTATTTAGAGTACATGAAAAAAGGGTATCATGGAGATGAAGAAGAAGTACACGGATGTAAACGATTTAAGCTTTGATAGGACCCCATCCGACCATAACCTAATCCAGTACATACTATGAAGGATGCGGCAGCTTCAAACGAAAGTATCCAGGTCATTAAAAACAATTTGACTTGACATACCTATTTCAGTTTATCTTCTTTTCATATTTTGGCCATTGCCCCTTATAAACCAAAATGTTTCGTTTTTACGCGTTTCTCCTTTGTATGCCACTATAACTGTCGTTTATATGGACCTAATAATTTTACCTTTAATTCTGACGGAGAGTTAACCAATAGAAAACCGAGTGACCACGAAACGTCAAACTGTATCAACTTCGAGTTCTAAGACCGGTCCGTACCTTTGATTATTTTGGTAGTATTCGCTATAAAACTGATTCCTTACCTTACCTTGGTGGTAGATTTTATCTATCCGAATGTCTCAAAATGGCCATTCAGTCTAAGTCAGTCACACAAAGACAGAGACGAAGACTATAGCAAAATCATCAGATCAAAATAGACAGAACGCTAATTGGTGAACCGATACAGACTTTGGTATTTACCTCAGAGACTGGTGAATCTCAATAGGTGGCCGTTTCCGGGCCTGATAACTCGTCACAGTGCTTACTGGTTTAGATATTAGGAAAAATTAAGCCATGATTATTGCACAGTTTCCTGACTATAATTGATTTAACTTTAGATGCATATCATAATTATATGCATACAACTATCGTTGATTGAGAAATAGCGGTCGGTGCGCTCTCAGTCCCTGAAAGACATCAAAAAACCACCAAATAATAGTAATATACATTAACAATGACGCATTCTCAAACTGGCAATTGTTACTTGATGCAACTACGGCAATACAAATGCAGGCCAAACGACCGAAGAATTCCGGTATGGTGATGAGGGAGTAGCAGAAGGTGGTCCTTTATCACCGCCTATCGCGTCAGGTAGGGGGGTCCCACAGCCATCGCAACAGCCACTCGGAGCAGGATTGAGCCTTCTCGAACGGATCAAACTCCTGAAAGAGGTACCCACATTAGTTCCGCCTGTCATTTTATATAAATAAAACATACACGAAAATTATATTTAAAAAACAAAAGACTAATACATACTCAAGAAAACGAATTGAAAATATCTGTAAAGTTTCAGCAAAAAAAAAAACAGAAAAACGCCGACATTTTGCGAAACCAATTATTTTTATATGAAAAAAGAAAGCGGTTTTTTGGTGTCTTTATAGATTTTGACCGTTGTAATGTTGTACTTCGGTATAGGGTAATGCTCGTCGCGGAAATCTTCACTTACGTATTAAATCCTCTATCGTTTCACTGCAGGTGGAACGTCAACGCAAGTCAAGCACTGCGTCGTCCTTGTCGCTGACGCAGTCAATGGGAAGCGGGGCAGTCGGGAACATTGCCCCAATAAGCTCCGTTCCTTCAGCTTCTACTGCTGGTTCCGCCTTAGCCTCCTCCGTTTCAGTATCAGCCACTGCTCCTCTCACCTCAATCTCAATCGCCACCGCTATGACGACAAGCAGTAGCGCCACAGCAGCAGTAGCAGCAGTTCCCGTAGGGCATAACCATCAGCAACAGCAACAACAGCAGATGACAACTACGCGGATCCCCGTGCACTCGCTACGGCACTGTCACCCTGCAACGGGCAGATCGCCCCGATCCGAGCTTTTGCTGTTACCACAGCAACCAACGACAGGATCTCGAGCGACACTTTCCGTCGGCACCGGGCAACTCGAAGCGCGTCGTTACTCTGCGACGCCGCCTTCTAGCCTGCCATTGCTACATTCGCACGTCCCCAAGTTCCAGTCACATACACACGGACATCATCTGCATGGCCAACAGCAGTTGTATGCGCTAGCAGACGTCCCTCTCACGCCCGATCAGTCTTCAGTTCACTCGCGGCCGCAGCGCATCGTTGAAAATCTCCGGCGCGCTACCATGGTACGTGAACGCAAAAACTGCTGGAACTTCGTTGCTAGCCTTTAAAAAAATTCCAACTATAGTAATATGTTTTTCTTTTTTGAAAAATAGAGAATAATAAAAATGTTTTGAAACGGAATTTAAAAATATACATTTGATAAAAAAAATATATATATTTTGTATAGAGGGTACTTGTTGGGTTTTACAACGGTTCGGTTAGTAATAATTTTAAGAATCGAATAAAATAGATCAAGGTAGCTTGTTCGAGTGGCTTGCTTATAGTCCAGACAATTGAATTATCCTAATATTAGGGAGAATGGAGCCAACACAACCTAGAGTAATACATAATTTTAAACAAAGGGATTGATCAACACAGCTCTTCTATTAATAGATGAAAAACATTTAACTATAAACTGATAAATTTTTCTTTATTTAGAGTGAAAACTGCGTGATTGCGAAAAAGAGGATCGTTGTTTAGAGAATCTGTGTTTGTCGCAACTTTCCTTTTAACTACACAGCATGTAATAAATGATATTTATTTCGACACTTTTTAAGCTGGTTGATCATTTCGAAATTATGCTCAACCGGTTTACATTCTGTTCGTGCCTAGAACGGTTTCGTGATGTTCTGATTATTTGGTTTGCGTTTCAAAAAGGATCCAAGCTACCAAATGACTCGAAAATAACGGACTGCTAACTGCTACCGATGCTATTACAGCCCGCCCACCTGTACATATCATTGCTACTTCCTAACTCGGGATCCACTTTGGCTAGTGCTCTCACGATCGTTCTTTTATCTTTTCTAATTAGAAACAGCACGCACTGTTTTTAAGGCAGTTCGATTGAGGCTTAGCGGATCGTGCTAAGGCACAGAGAGTGACAGCAACAAAAACTTTACTTCCAAACTATGGCTGACTCAACTGCCAGGGTCCCAACTTGTGTTAAGCGTTCTTTCTGCCCCTAAAAAATTCTTCCGTTCGCGGCTAAACGGCTTCGGATTAAATAGAAGAGTAGTCGAAGAAGATGGAGAAGTGGCGGGCAGCTTAGAAGCATCACCAAGACCATACCCCTCCTTGCTTCTTTACCATCAGCTGACTTAGGCATACCATTGACAATCCTTTGCTTCAGCAGCGATTCAGTCAAATTCAGCTTCTTTGGCCTAAATACTTGAAGATCACCTATTAGTTATTAAATAAATCTAGGTACTGTTCAGGTTTTTTGTCTATTGTTGTCTGCATATGCAGCTGTACATTGATACCGTAAGCAGAGAATGTGCGTCATGGTAGGATCCCTAAGCTTCTGCGTGTTGTCTGTACCTGTAAATATCTAAAAATCAGGTGAAAATCTGTGATGATGATGATATTTTTAGATGGAACTGGACGTTGTGCACAGAATTTTTTTGGGGTGTAATTAACTCCCTCTGGACATCAGTCCCTCCCCTACTGTCTGATAGTCAGAAACCATCTGTTTGAGTGAAAATTGGCTTACTTGAATTGTTTTAGGTTTTTCGTAAGTTCGTTTGGTCTAATGTTTCCGCTTCCTACATTTTCTTCCGCGGCGGTCCGTCTCCGGCGTTGAGCAGGTGTCGGCAACATTCGAGGCATCATCGCCACCTCCGTTAAACGATGCTGCTTCTGGCACCGAGGTTCCTCTACTTCGAAGGGTTCTTATGCTCAAACGGCGTGCTTCAGACGAGAATTCGCGAGCGGCATCCCGCCCCGAGAGCCTGCAGCTGACCGAAGTTCCTCCGGCACAGCTAAACGTTTGCAGTGTAGGATCAGGCTCACGGGGGAGAATGTCGCTTGCGAAAGTCTCGCCTCGGACTGAGACTACCGTGAACGAATGGCTCGCGTCGTCAAGTGCGAAGTCGTCATCAGTAGATGTAAGCAAAAGATCGTAAAAAGCCGTGTCGGTATCCTACTGACAGCACTTCTATTCTATCGATAACTGTTTCAACAATTTACTATAATAACATATCCATTTCGCAATATTCAGCTCGTTCATCTGCTTCAGTCTATCCCAACTATTAAGAGTAGAATACAGAAATAGCATTGCCCCTAAGGGGTAACAGTGCGCAGTCAAGTTATAGATGATCTCTTAAGAGAAAAATTTACGAGAAAAATGCTTCGCTACTGTTTAAGGGATGGGGCTAACTATGCCCTCCTATATTTGGATGCAATTGTCATACCAGTGAGACTGCCTTGATGTCTTAGAAGATTACCGATTTCTTTGGGGCAAAACAACGAATATGGTAGGTGAAGCTTTCGTTGAGGCGCTTGTGACATATATTCTGAAAAATTTTTTACTGTCGTTACGTGTAAGCCTCTATTAACATACCGAGGGTAAAACCGACAACGGAGGTGGCATCTGCCGGACCCGGCGCTGTATTTTGGGAAACCCGAGATTTCCGGAGTCAGGTTCTCCACCTAACTAGCCCAATGGCAATTTTATAATAGGCTATAGCTGTAGCAATTCATACTGTATCGGTAAGCTTCAGTGTATATGTGTTCGCAGTGTTCTCATCGTCTATCGAAATTTAGCCCACACGCACCCCATTGCTCTCTGGTAGACCAATCTTGTAGAGCTCCTTCTTCCTTTTTTGTTTCATCTATCTACACATTTCCTTGACTATGGCACGGTATTGTAGGCAGCTGTACCCCGTCTTTCTTGACATCTTCATGACATTCATTTTACTAGTTCACATTCCTTAGTTTTGTGAACACGTCATTACGTACTCTCATACTGTTTTTACCTTACGAGGCGAACTGGTCATGTTGCTAGTATAGCTCTGGTGACATGTTATATCTGCTGTCTTGTTTTCGTCGGTTCCGGCTTCTACGTCGCGGGTATCCACTTACAGATTTCGCAGACTGAGGTGACCGACGTCAACTCATCACAGACATGCGGGCAGCCCGCGACGCAGCAGCTAGGTTCGAACAGAGAAATGACGCAGGATCTTGCAGATTTGTCGCGGCCCCAATCGGGGGCCGGCGATGCGTCATCGGCCATCAGAGCGCCTCATCACAACAGTCGCAACAGCGGAAACGGGATCAACCGACGAAGGAGCAACGGGGACGACGGTGGCAGCAGCAGTAGTCTTCAACCACTAACAGCTGAGACGGACGAAGTAAGTGGCTCGCACTCAACATTCCGTACGCTACTTGTGCAACAACGACATCAGTTCTCCACAGCGACATCTACAACGATCAGTTCCACTTCCACTAGGCGTACGTCATCCCGATCGATAACTATGATGACAATGGCTATAGAGGGTAGTGACGGCGGTGGCCATAGTACAGTGCCCGTAGCTGCAGTAATGCAAATGCCAGTACTTGAAGTAGGTGCAGCCACACGTGTTATTGGGCAACAAAGTGATCATGGATGCGTGGTCATCCCTAACCCCGTTGTGAGTACTGCTAATACCCCTTCTACCACTAGTGCCGTGGCTAACACAACCAGTCCATCTTTCAATGGCAATCTACCCAGCCCAAGCCTGATCGCCAGCCCGCACAAGCGTGCATTATGGCGGCGGGCGACTCGCGAGGGCTATGCGATGCGTCGCGCAGTACTTAAACGAATGTGCGCCATTGAACAGGCGCCTTCACCTAACGAGGACCAGTCACCAACGTTGAGGCAGCTGCAGCAGACGACCCAGCTTCTATCGGGAGCCGGAGGAGGTCAGCCTCTTCCACAAGACGTACGGCAACAGGCGACACCGAACAATCAAGGAATTACAACGCGCGTGACCTCATCAGAAGATACTTACGTCAAAGGAGATCTACCTCGGGAGAAGGCCGTTACTCAACCGACATTAAAGGCTGTGCCGTTTGAGACGGGACAGATCATTATAGCTGACCCGGACAACGTTGAGGTGATGGTCGCCTCCGCCATGAAGCAGATCAAGTTAGCGGTCACCGAGTATCTGGTAAGTACTATAAGCCCAAGTTGTGAAACCATGGCCCGATACCGATAATAACTTTAGATAGGGATACCGATACTAAGGTCAGACAGGGAATAGCAAAAATTCAGCTGTGGAAAAAGTTCAGAATGGTAAAATCTAGCCCCCGTGATGATGTAGCGGTACCGTGTTTGGCTGCTGAATTTAGATAGATCCGAGTTGGTTCGTATTCGGAATCGAACGTGGGTGCACTTAGGTTTTGTGCCGGCGATCGGCCGTCTACTAGTATGTGAAATGCCTATACATATCCTTCCAGATTTGTTTAATAATCATTCAAAGGATACCGTCTTTTGTAAGGGACAATTTTCATGTATTCAGCTTTTCAGTGTATTGTGTACTTTATATTAAATGCCCACCGGGTCGTGATCGCTTTCACGGTCAACGAATTGATCTTTGGTGTTTGCTATCCCTAAAAATTATCGTGTACTTAAGAGTAATCAGAATGTTCCTGGGCCTATAGGTTGCCTGACGTGCGCTATCGGACGCGATGCAAAGGGCATAAGGGACAGCCTCGGAAGCCATCGAATTTGGTCCAAATACCATTTTCGCCCAATATTATTGTTTCTCCAAGAAAGTACTGTAAAAAACGACCTATCCCTGTTGAAGGCGCTTCCACTAAGCAAAGGCTCTTCGAGTTCCGTTAGGCTTCTGGAATTCAGCTGACATGGGCCAGAAAGTCCGAGAGGCTTAGGCCAACCAGTAGCAGAATTATTCATTCTAACGTGCGTTGTATGAGAATACATGAGCGCTGTATAAGTTAAGCTTAGTAGCTCATGTATATTAAGCATGCTAGCCAGCAAGCAAGCACCGACTCTCGCAAGCTTATTACCACAAAAATTGAAGATATAATTATAACTTTGTTTCGAAGTAATGTCTCAAAAATGAGTTCGCTGCGTATGACAATGATGAGTTGCTATTAACAAATGCATAAATGGCTCACTTATATCAGCAAATTTTACGCTGGCCAATGAACCATTGGTGTAGTCGAACGTGTGCCATTTTTTAAAAAAAACATTTGAGGAACTAAATATTAATTATATTGATATTTTAGAGGGACACACATATGGAGTTAACCTCAAGAGTCGAGGCGCTGGAAAACGAACTCGAACGGAAGGATAGTATCATCAGCGAGCTTCAAGACGAGCTTGTGTACAAAGTAAGAAAAGCTACAGGAAAACATCGATAGAGTAATATTTTTTCAATGGATCTTTAGAATGTTGTACTTCATCTATCTTCTTTCTCTAATTAACACTATCTATGCTACGCAATATATTATACAAATTTCAGTATCGTCTTGCCTTGAGGTTGGATTTTAGCTACTCGCTAAACAATAACAACCAATGTGCTACTGAGAAATTACGTTCTTGCAGCTGGTACCTCTTCCATGTTGAACAGGACATCTTATACCACGCACGTCTTGCACAGAAGTGTTGCTTTGACGACATGGCAAGATTAATCTAATAAAAATATATCCGATAAATATTACACATTTTCTGATTATGTTACGTACCATGTGATACATGGGATATTCTTTCTAGGCAATAGAAATTGTGCGAGTAGAGGATAGAAAAATGTATATATATATATATATATATAGGTAAAATTGGCTTACCTTCTAATGAAAAACTTTCAGCAATATTATCATTATATCCATGAGTAAGTCTTCGATGATCTTCGACGATGAATTGTCTCCTTCGGAGAGTATTGACCGAAGTAACTGTCCAAGTTTCCAGAGGGATATACCGCTAACTAAAGCATTTTATATAGTTGTCATATTGTTGTATCATATCATGTAGTTGTCATATGTTAACAATAGGTTTTGTTTAGAATTAATCAAAGCCACCGCCTAGCGCAAATATTCAATCTATTTTTATCTATCTAATTAACTATATAACTATATATTAAGAATATCCAACGGTAATTGAAAAGAAATAGTACGCTAAATAATCCAATCTATAATATAGTACAAAGGGAGATAATTATGAGAGCGATTTCAATATATGCAAACGCTATATAACAAATTTAATGTTAGTGATATGCATTATTATCATTCGACTTAAGCGTTGCAATTGTTTCACCCCACGCCCGCGCCCCCCCAGCATACGCCTACCCCGGCCTGCGGGGCCAAACTCAAATTGATTCCGAGTAAATGAAATAAAGGATTCGTTCGTGATGCTTCACTAGATTCTCTGTTAAAATGTTCGTGTCACTGCATTCGTTTTGCATTTACACTTTCACCAATGAATAATAGGAAAGGGAGCTTCGTCAGCAGCAGTTTAATACAAGCTTTATAGGCGACTTGTGCTCATTAAGCGACTCATCATTCGACTCCGAGGCGGAAGATGGTGCACTTTTACTTGCTGCGACGGTAAGTTGATTGTTTTACAAGTTGTTGTAGGGGACATTCGTTTGACCATCACTAACCGAAATGTCGTCGAGTCCTAGGTAAACGCGCTGTATATAGCTAGCTGAGATTTAGCTCATGCGCGAACTAGGTTGTCTCGTTGTCAAGCCTTAACCTAACGTAGATAGATAAATTAGGAGAAATAAATTAACGTTGAGAGTTAACCGGAATCAGCTTGCTCCCCCTTTAATAGCTGCAGGTTTACGACGCACCCCAGTGCAGAGCAGATTGTTCTTTACTCCGTTTTGTCAGCGATGAAAGTAATCTTATTTTGGGTTCAATATTCAAAACATTAGCTCAGATCTACCTTCACTGTACTTGTCGTAGAGTTAGTAAATTTGAATTAGCCGCTACGCAAGTTACATCCATCATTGATTTTGGCAGACAAGCAATCCATTCCAAAACACTATTAACAACTCTGATCATCGCTTGATTAACCATTTAAGTACATGCAGACTCTGTAGTCCATAGGTCTGATGAACGGTTGAAGAGTTAACTTACAGCTGGTTATGCCTCATTGTTACACATAGTTTCGCATGAATTGTCAATAAACGACGTCCAGCGGCGCGCCCCTTCAGCACCAGGGGGGCCGGCCACTGAACCTCTCAATTTCTCACTGTACTAGTCACCTCTACTATCGCTACCATTTTAAGCTACAAATGATCAAGTAAATCACAAATCGGCTTCGTCCGCCTTGAGCGACGCTTGACGCGACCACACCATTTGCCTGCATTCAAATTTGTTAAGTCTAGCCTTTGTATCCTATGTACATATACCGCCATATCTGTTCCCCTTTGGAGAATCGCTGCCATCCTCTTCTCCCGCCATTTCCTGCTAGCTGGCCTCTGCTTAACTGGTTCATTCCACCAGCCCAAATCGGAGTCACCTGCCACCGACGCACCTGAGATTGGCCCGAATGGCCTCATCAGCAGCAACCATCACTGCTGCGAGCAACATCAGCAGTGCAGCGAACACTACTACGGTACCACCACTGCTGGATTAGGGCACGTTGACACCATCACCTCTGTTTCGGCGGAGCACCTCGCGCAACAGCTCTCGGAAACCTACACGTGCCTGCAAATCCCAAGCACCGCCTCTGAAGGCTTCGATCTTTCGTCGCGGAACTCGTGGCCGAAGCTAGGCGGCCAGGGGTCTTCGCCTGCGTTCGACGAAGATACAGCCGGCATGGATGGTGCTTGTTGTGGTGAGCTGAGCGCGTCATGGCACGATCACCTAGATGCGACCCAGGACCCGCTTGCTCTAGGGGCCGGCACCAGCATGGACCCAGGGCAGCCTTCCCACGTCGGCATGGTATGTTCACGATAACCACTGCAATTTACCAGAAATGCTAATTCAGCAAGCAGAGTATCGATTTCTTGCTGTTTTTTTCCCTAAATCTTCTTCTTGATCTTCCTCGTAGTTTTCGATTTACATTTCGGATTTCAAAGTTGTGATGCCCCCGATAATATGATGTGTCGCTTAAACTGTTTGCTTACCTTATTTCTTATGATCTTGTTATCTCTCGTGTCGCCATTATAATGCGGCATGTTATGCGAGGGGACTTGAGTTTTCTCATATCTTTACTCTTGTCCTCATTTCGTCTTGCACTTTTTGTCGTCACAGTCATGTTTTACGTATCTTACGTCCCCTTACCGCCATGCAAACAGAATGAAAATGATACCTTCTTGTTAGCTGAAGCCGGTTGAACTTTGGCATTCGATTACTTTGATAAACTTCCAACCCCATCCGACCCGATCCTTTGTGAATGTTTGTCTTTTGCTGGATCGTGCTTGCACTATTAAACCCGAGATGATTTTCAGCTTCTAGTGGGATATTTGGGTTAGCTCGCTATTGAAATAATTTGATATGTACAGAAAGGTATAATGCCACCCCTTCGAATGCAAGATAAAGCGCTATAAATTGTTGTCCCAGCGCCAAGATCTGTGACAGGAGGGTCACTGTCACAGATCTTGGCGCTGTGCCCAGTTCTACTTTCTAGCATCTGTCCATAAGAACCTTCTTAGGCAGTTGTAACGACTAGATAACATAGCTGTCAATGTACTTCTGTTCCTTTAACGCCGATTCGCTCGCTATACGCTGCATTTCCATATGTCACTTGTGTATTATACACTCACTCAGTCGTTTGCTTGTATTATCTATCGCTGCTACAGCAAGTAGAGTAACTGGCGGCTTTTATCACACCAACGAACCCATCCTGGTTGAAAACGGATGACAAAACTCATATGTGACTACATAACGGCAGCCACAGCGTAATCGCCATCTAGCGCTTAAGCTTTGGCCTTTGTCAAACAATCTCTCGCGGGGGGTTTGAGCGTCATGATGCAAATGGTTTTTATCCCGGTTTCCTATATTGTTTTTTCTTTGCCTGTTGCGCTATGTCTATATATTTAGTTGTCATTTTCTTACTCGACGCGTCTCCCTCATGTTTGCAATCCTCGCATCCAGTGTCAACCGGCTCCCAGGGAAGTTTTCACCGAATTCTATGCGGCCCTAGGGCAAATCTGTGTCAATCAATTTGCTTTTTTTTAGGTGACGAGAAAAATCCTTACTCCTGCCACTAGACAACAATACTGGATAACAATGCAACACGCCTCAATCAACATGTGTTGCTATTCCTCAGAGACGAAAGAAATATTGCCTATCTGTACATACTGTTTTCAATAATATGTCGAAACACTTCTGTGCAAATAGGTACCCTGTCTTCTACCGAGGGAACAATGGGCCATAGTAAGGACTCTTTCGTGTCAAAAAAACGATCTCGGTTTATTGCTATTTAGAAGAGCACTGGAAAGAGTGGTCGCAAATGCTTGTGAAGTCCCACACGGTACAACATGACTTTTTTTAATTTTTTTGTTCGACTTCTTTTTTTTAACCAACATAACTTTCTTATGGCTATACGGTACATAGCCTGCCAGCTGCCCCGGCTCATCTTCAGCCTTTCCGATTCTCTGGGTTACAGGCGACTGGTGTAAAGCAGGAGGCAACTACTCGTGTATGAATACTAATAGATTGCTTCATCATGATGCCTCATAAACGTGCACAGCAGGAATTGAATAGAAAAATTTGCTTGCATTTACGCTAGTCAACATCGTTCTGAAGAACAGGAATACGGCAAAAATACGGGAGAGTTGATGACGTCTGTTTTACGTTGGTGTAAATTGACGACAGGTGGTAGCCTCTAAAATCGGGCCGGACGACCTCTGGAAGCTCGAGTTTCCGCAAAGTTTCGATATTTCATCGAAGACGCCGAGTTTTGATCGTGGCAGTCGAATATCAGTGAATAACTCGACTCACGACGTCGGCCAAGCGGAACGTGGCCAGATCGCTGATGAAAAAGACAATAAAGACACGACAACAGTGATAAGGGGCCAACAAAGGGACACGCGTTACAGACCGAGTAATGTAAGCGCGTCCAGTATTCAGCTGCCCGTATCCGTTCGAAAGCAGGTGCGAGTGAAATACGACAACTAAATTAGGTATTTAGAGATTTTACTCACATCTTGTACGTTACTTTTGTCCAGCATCATTGATGGTATTAAGGTTTTTATGAGAAAAAGGTCCAAATATCAATTATCGCAGGTATCTTCGAAGCAAGTAAGAGCTTACGGTTGGAAAAACGTATTTATACAGTGTTTATTAAATTCTCACTATAACAAATAATTAATGGCAATTTGCGAAAGAAATCACCGTTGGTAGGCAATAAATGTGTTTTTATGTATAAAACTGGAGATTGATCTTTTTGGAAAACTTCTTCCTATATGGATATCCGCCAGAATTCTGTACTTACTGAATTTATCCAAGAACAATATGGAAACCGTTTTTCCGGATGCGTGCTTGATTAAAGCGTTTATTCTAGATTTTAGACACACGTTGATTTTAGCCATTCTCAAGAAGTAGTTATCTAGAAAAAAAAATATATATATACATACATTTATACAAACAATACGGCAAACAGAAACAAAAGAAAAATTGTTTTCTATTAAAATAATGAGGAAGTTTGCGAAAAACTTCCTATATCTAAAAAACGTATAAAACATATAGAAAAAACGTCTGTATCCATAAAACTGATAGCTGTCCCGGCTCGTTTATTTTAGTATAGAACTTGTATGAAGGTATTAATTTTACACCTTGGGCGATACTAGGGTATATATTTTTTACTCACCAATTATATAGACAAGCCAATATTTAACTGCCATTTGAAAACTACTGTTTGCATGAACATTGAATACATATGAGGAGGGCCGATAACACTTACCATAATATCTCAGATAGAAATTCGACTAACAACTGCTTGAATTTACCGATACTAAAGTAGTTTGTTGTTATATAAACGTTTATTAATATGTGATGAATGTGCGTACCCAATCATTTTCTCCTAATCGATCCCACATGTTTTCCTTACCTATCGCTTGAGACGAATTTTGGCCTTTGAGGACATTTAACTTCGACCTTCAAACAATTCTGTTCCGATATCCAAGGTAGTTGTTTTTTCAAATAAGCCTTTGTCCTTCTTCTTCCCTTTTGTTTGCCTTCTCTTTTTTTCAAGCGAGGGTGGCCGTAAAATTGTCTTTGATCCCCTATCAGGTGTCTGAGATCAGGTAAATATTGGCTTTATATTGACGCTACTGCTGAGCACCTTGTACTGTGCAAAGGTCACAATGTATTGGCAATTCGCTGACAAGCAAGACAAAAAAGCGGAGCGGGATCTGGTTACGCGTCTTCCTTACCTCGACGGACCAGAACTCACCGCGACCCACCTTAATAACGCTTCGTTTTCGCCCGTTACTGGGCTTGACTTCCCGCGTTTCCACGGGTGAACATTTCACAATAGCGCCTTTTTGTCCTTACTCAGGCGCTTTTGTTTCTATTGATCCTGCATCTGTCTGCATTGGAACGTCGCAAGGAAGGGAGAAACGAATAGTACATAGAAGCCATTGCGGCAAATTGTTGTTGCTCGCTACTATTCTATGAATACCAGATCTGTGCCGTGGCGCCATACAAATGCAAATGGACGGACGCTGAGTTCATGGCCCCTTGTTCTTTCTTGACTAAATATACAACGCATAGGGATTTTTTCCTGGTGACGTGAACTATAAAGGCACGTTTCTTGCTAACTTAGTGACCAAGAGCTTTTGGTTTAGTCGAGGTGGTCGTATCGTATAAATACGGTACGATACACAGATATGCCTTCAAAGCATAAGAAAACCCTTCGAAGAAGCGTTCCTGGCTTCCGACCAGATCGTCCGAGTGGGTTCTGAATAGACGCGTACGGAACGGATATGTGTGAGTGAACGTTCAATTGTTGCATGAAATGGATGAAACCAGAGCTAGGTGATTATTTCTAGTAAAATATGGTTCTATCATTTCTACATTCCTATTCAGTTCACACTGAGTCGAGATGGAAACGTGCAACAATCCAGTGATGACTGGGAAGTAAAGATGCTCGTTGAACAGTTCGACGCGAAAATGAAGAAACGATCCCTGGAGGGTAAGATAATGAATGTATCCTGTTTTTTAAGTGTAAATCATAATGACAGGTTTACATAGCACGTGAAGAATATAGAACAAGAATATAATACTCTAACATGTCTAGTATGGTGGCGTGTTCCTGTGGATTTATTTTATTTAATTATCACATTTAATAATCGTGTAAGGCTATCCCTATTAAGTATGGAATTTAAAGATCGCATTTTTAATAACTTAGAATTCATATCTTGAAACGAGTACTCTTTATTTATGCATCGTTTTCGAAACACGTATGGGTCTCTCGCTGATCTAATAGCATTGATAGGATTCTCCTGTCTTAGAAGTAACTTGATGGTACTTTCAGTGTTGAAAATCATTAACTTCAGACTGAATGCCAGCGGCCTGATACAGTTGATCGGCGCGATTCTGTCGAGCTTTCGACGCGAGCTCATATTCCGCTAAAACCTAATTTCCCTTTTCCATTAGGTCGAAGACATTCGTCGTGTGATATTCAGTCGTGGGATCGTTTAATCCTCCAGGCCGAGACGAGTTCGAATGCCGGGGCGATCCGAGATATCGCAGCCGGAAACAGCCAACAGTCTACCGATATTGCCCGAAGAAGATATGGGCAAGTGACCATATCTTATATAGTTTCTATATACCGCACTATAAAAAGATACAATAATAGCAGAAGCGAAAAATTACGTAAAATACAGTGTTCCAGGAAATTTCTCAGCTGCCAAAATTTTCGAAGACTCATTTCTGTAGCTTAATCCTTCTGGAACGAGTGCCTCTGTTCCTGTCATTCTTACACAAGCTTTAACTGCATTCAGATCTGCTCGCTCCAAACAGTGCCGACACACACGTTATATCATCAAAACGAACATAATCCAAATTAAATAAAACTATATCTATCTATCTCCGGTGACGTGCATGCGACTTCACCAACACAGTATTAGTAACGTTTTGTCTTTGTTTGTAAGTACATCGAGTCCGACGGTGAATAGAAGTATCTCCGTATCAACTGGACCTATATGATGCCAGTTTTTATACTAGAATCGACTTGGACTCAAAAGATGGATATCGGCATAGCTTTCAAGTTTCTTTTTGTCCTGGTGAGCATAAACTAAACATGAACAAAGGTCACAAAATCAAAACCTTTCAGGCGGAGCTCGCGCATGTTTCTTTCGCGAGTAGCGGGAGTCTGTACGGAGCTGGGAACGTCGCGACGAGCCGAAATCCGGCGGGCGTCTCTCGCCAGATTTGCATCCGTCGATGTGCCCTCGTTAACGGAAAAGTAATAACTAAGCATTGTACCTAAGTTTGGCGAGTGCTTTTCCATTTCGGAAATCTCTAAACAGCTATTTACCCTACATTTATTTTTACTAAGTACAGCAAGTTATTGCGTTTATTTAAGTCACAAGTAATATTCGTTTCCAAAAGCAGCTCCTAAGGTAAACTGTATATATACATATATATATTCCCTGTAAATTTCACCTAATTGTCACGACTAACAGATTTCAGTATTAACATTGGTTTTTTTGACTATACAGTCAGAAACCCCCAAGTGATGAACACTGTCTGTCATCGTGGACCAACTCCTCTTCTGTTCGCGTAGACTCCTTGGATCCTCCTTTACCCCGCTCCGAGGTAAACGTGACCAGTCCACCTCGTCAGCCGGTCCTTAATCTGGGCCTAACCCCGTCCACAAACGCAGCTCGCGAAAGCGCTTCCCGAACCATTCCCCCGCCGCTGAACTCCCAACAGCAACAACCGTCACATCAATTTTTGACCGGGGCGAGTCACGACGCTCTCGTCGCCACCTTTCGTCGCAGGTAAATTTACTGGATTAAGTGCGATATGACCGAAGAGAACGATCTAGGCAAGCGACCACGTTCCAGGTCTCTTTCCTAGTGTGACAAACGGGCCTTCCTTATTGGGCTTAAAAACAATACGGTACTGATGAATAAACTCATCTACAGTGATTCCCTGAAATATTTTTATTCTTGATTTTAATTAAAACCAAACTTTTTTGTGTTATAAAAATGACGTAGATCATTTGGTGAACTTATGTATAAAACAAGACGTGATACGATAACGGTTGAGGTGCGTCGTTTGGTAAACACAAACTGCTTCAAATGAATAAAGAACTCATGTATTTTCTCAATTCCTAGACAGCTATAATTTTTTAATTTTTATTTTCGACTTCCATCAGAAAAGTTTTGCAACATCTATCTTGGCAGGAATCATAATGATTCCTGCCAAGATAGATGCACCTCGAACAAAATTGTTGGTGGCCAACGGCATGGCTCTGTCTGGCCAGAAACGTTCTGAAAGTTTGTGGCAAGCCTGACACGGTCGAGCATTTACTATGCATTATTACGTACGAAAGATACTCAAGTAGTCAAGTCAAAAACTCCTAAATAAGAGATCTACAAATGCAAATTCGATCGTTGTGCCATTGAAGAGGCTGGTACTCTACGAAGCGGCCACGCATTGCTATGGCACCTAAGCTGTGTCGTATGGTGCGAGCAGCAAACGCGTCTATACTAGCACACATAAAGCAGAACTAGCCCCTAAGGCTTTACGTCTCCAATAATGGATAGATTCAGAATCATTAAACTGGCCCTCAGCCGAAGTACAGTGAGACGATATTTTGCTCCTTAACTTCAACGCCTGATAAAGCATATTCATTGTCAATCCAATCTCATTGAGATTTCCATCATTTCTTTTTACCTATGATAAGAGTATGCCTGCACAACTAATATTATAATAAATTAATTCTCTATCCTAATTAATAATGTATATAACACGTTTCACATTATCGTATGTAATTGCTTCCACTGTATTTAGATGAAGACATTTAGCCAAGATTAGATCGAGCGTCGACCAAGCACTTTCTAGGCTAATCTATTCCGTTTCAGAACGTACGCGCAGTCCCGTTTTAACTCAATGGTTGTGGGGGAGACAGCAACAGTGGACACCTCCAGCCCTACAGAACCGATGCTCGCCTCGAGCCGATCACGTCCGCCCCAATGGAAAAGGTTGGAATTGTCGTAATGCTAACTAGTAAATTCGTAAACTAGTAAAAAAAACTTGAAGGTCTCGAAAATACCCGCTAAGGATTCTCATCAATTTACGTTTTTCTCGTTGTGAATTTTTCTGTGTTCTATTTTCCTTGAGTAAACGCGGTGGTTCAAAGACACAACACGATTCAAGCAGCTCTTTAACGTTAGTTAATTGTCTATCCAAATGTCCTCCATAGAGTAACCACCCAGAAAATATTGGATGGAATATGTGGAGCCTATACACAATGATACGACTGGGTCTTGTAGGGTTTAGCGAATTGTTTTCCGTACAAAATAACATCACCAAATGCTTTTGTGTTTCAAGCACTATCTAGTTTATTGTTGCTCGGCAAGCGTATGTGTGTGTATATAATTTGAAAGAGATTAGTTTTCATATAGGTTTACCATATCCAAAAAACAGGGAACAACCTAAAGCCCAGGAAACGTGCATCTTTCTCTCACTAACGCACTGAACAGGACGTTAATATAAAATAGGACAAATTTCACTTCGCAAAATGCCATTTGGTCAGCATATGGCGAAAGAATGGCTTGCAACACTCGAAAATTAAAATATGTTGGAGAATTCCAATTCTAATGTGTAGGATAATGTTATTCGGAAACGTTTTTGTCATTTTCCGCCATTTTGGATTTCCTCGAATTACTAGTGTGTTTGAAAATAAGTGTGATTGAAGTATCTATTTTCCACTATAGCCGAAGTATTAATTATAGTCTGTCCTTCAATTCATAAGGCATACACGTTCAGACCTTGTGTACGTGACCAGCAGCTAATAATTAAGAAAGCAGGTCTGCACTAGAACTTTTTCTCAATGGTCTGCTGCCTACTCTGTCACACCTTGTTACCTTTGGCATGAAATCATTTTAAAGCCTTTACCTCTATAATTCTTAATTTTGCTAAAACTTTTAACTAAGCCTATTGCACATCAATATCTAGGCAACTTTGCATATATATGCATAGTTTTTAATTATAAATCGTCTATGCCTATTTAATTGCAGTCTATTTATACTAATCTAGCTAGCATATCGTAGCGTAAAATTAATATCTTCCGTGGAAATTTTAACTTCGGTCACGCACTGGCAAATCGTAGCACCTGGCTGTGGGTCAGATGACTTGAAACCAAATTTTTTCCAAAAAAAAAATTGGTTCCGAAAAATTTTGCCAAACCCTTGTTTATCGGCGTCACCGTTTCTGCAAATTGGTTTGGATGCTGCATTAGCTCATTAGTAATGATCGCGTATTTCTAGTCGAGAACAAGCAGCTCTTGCCGTTTTTCTTTTTACAGTCTCGATGAAGAAGCTAAACACAAAAGCCAAAGCTCCGCGGCCTTGTCAGATACAGATTTTTGGCTGGAAAACGCGCGTGATTCTGTCGATTCTCGAGATAAGCTGCCCCAGAGCGAATCAGCCAATGATTTGCCACCCTGGTCGCCTATCCCACATCCGCCCGCTCAAGCTATTGGCTTACCAACCATTAGAGAAGGTTCGTCCTATGGTACCCTTTATGTAGTAGCATAAACTTATATTTGTTGGGCCATACAGTTGGCTTTTTTTCGCCTTACCGCAGAGTAGAAACGGTTTATGTTGTAAAACCATCGTTCTATTCTTCTATTCTAGAAAATAACATGATTTTGCCCGGCGCTTTTTAACTTATCCGTCCCCAGGTTCGCGTCTCATTGACCAGAAATCAGAAATGTCAGACGAAGAGGACAACGATTCTTCCTCGACTAGGACTACGGTTTATATTGACATCGACTCCGCATCTCCTGGTATATACCGATATCTATTGCCTACACGCGCTTTTCCTATTTAAATTAGTTTAGCTTAATTTATTTTTCAAATTTAGGTAGAATTGGTGTCACGTTTAAAAGTCAGGATGTATATATATATATATATTATAATAATAGGTTATTACGTTAGTATAGAAGTAATGACGTTTTTCGTCGTTGCTTTTTCTTCGTTTATCGCTAAACGAATAGATTAATTTTTCGTTAGAAATTTGCAGATCTGATGTTGAGAAATGCTGATCCGCCAATGAGAGATCTGGAAAATGTAATAGGTACAAAAGGACCCACCATCGCAGGACTGCTCTAACGATATTCGCCATGCACGTCTTGGCATTGTCGTAGGGAACGATAACGTCGATTTGTTTACCGGACCGTTTTTGTCAGATAGCCTCGTTCAATTGACGCAATCAGGTTAAGCAGCAGAGCATTGTCAGTCACCTTACCCTTTTTCAAACCATTTTCCTACTCTATGTTGGAGCCTTATGCAGGACTTTTCCGATCCGCTATCGAACGAAAATTACGTTTTCTTTAAACGAAAATTCAAATTAACGTTTTGGCAAATTTCCCAGAGTTGTTCATTCTTTTTTGTGCTTCGTATCTGTGTGGAGATGCCAATTTTCGTCACCTATAACAATTCTGTGTAAAACCTGTCGCTGTGGCCGATGTTTGACGCTGAGTGAAATTTTAATTAGCAATAAGAATCCGTACTTCTCTGTGCTATTTATTCGGTTGATGAGGCAGTCAGCCTTTTAAGTTTTCAATAACTCTGACGGATTCATGATACCTGTCGACAGCGCCTTGAGGTGATCTTATCTACTTCGGATAACCGACCGAAACGAAATACATCGCTCGGTTTCGAAATGATATTATTGGACTGTGCAAAACACCTTTGAGTAGTCTGTTTAGGCACCGAGTTCGTAGGCGGTATAGGTATCATGGGCTGTTTTGGCAATCGTTTAAGCTTGGCAAAAAGCGAGGTATACGATAACGCACATCCTTCGCCAAGAGCATCTAGTTTTAGAATCTGATTTTGATATTAAATTTTATTCTTACGCAATAGTTAGAATTGCAACTCATTTACTGAATAAAAAGGGAGCACTTTTTAATGGTATATACAAATAAGGAAATAGCGGAAGCGTAAAAAGGAAACATATGTTCTAGGATATAACGCCGTTTCCTATTTACCAACCCAATATTATACAGACGCCCAATAAAATTTCTACTGCGTTCAAGAATCGTGTATACATATCATGGGAACATCAAATGTATGATGGTATTGTTTGTACGATACTCATTGCAATAATCAAGTGCTCTATTTAATTCGGAATTGTCAGTTAAATTTTCGCTAACGAAGAAGTGTTAACTCATTTATTCGTGGGTGCTACTCGTCAAGGTCTAAAAACTTCTGTCATCATAATGTTCAAAAGCCCAAGATGCATGCGCTACGTCTATATGACAGTGATAAACGGAGCTTTCAGGCAATACAATACAGACAGCGTCATTTAGACTCCGTAACGTTACCTTCATTCCTCTGATTTAGACAAAGCTCCGGAAAGCGCGATTTCATTGTTGCTTGCTCGCGACAGTAATGGCGGTGACGACTCCCCTGACGCGATTGCGGCTGAACGGGGGTCGGTGTCGATAACCGTTGAAACGACGACGCCAACAACGACAGCTTACCCCGCGCTCGTACCGCTTGCGGCACCCGGATCACAGGACGCCGAGCGACCATATCCAGCAGAAAAAAGCCATGAGAGCGGTTCAGGACTTCCAGGCGACGGGTCCTCGCGAATCTAACATGCGATAACGTCGGGCCATTTTCTCAGAGTCTGCGCCATTCAGCTCGTCTGTCAAACGTCGACAGTCTTTCTGATAGAAGTGATACTAATTATATGCGACGATAGCGATTACAATGAGAACCATTATCAATGTCGTAGCAATGATAGCAACGCTAGGAACGGTGCTGGTGTCCATTACGTCGTCAGAAAATGAAATAAGTCTACTCATATACGGAAACTCAATCGTTTCCACCATCTTGAATTTCGGTCCTAAATACCGATTGCTTGCACTGTTTGCCGAACGAATATATAAGAGCTATGAAAAATAACAAGGATGCGAACGTGGCCAGCCTGATGAGGAGTACACGGAAAATCCTGACGACAAAAGCGTAATGTGAAAATAGCCTTGAAATGAGTTAGCATTGACCGTTACCGTTACTATAACATTATGATCGTTACTATAATTATTGATAATTATCGCCTGCCGGTATAATGAATAGATGAGATTAGGAGCGACTATATGTTTCCCATAACCTTTTATGATCGATGCAACGATTTAACGTAATAGCAATTTAGGTATGCCTTTCTCATATGTGGTCTACATATACTCATAGAAAGGAACCTCAAACAATTACATTAGGTGCAACCTAACCAACAACTCCAGCAATTAGCAGCCGTGAAATAGAGCGGACCAGTTCATATTGTAATAAAAATCGCAATGCCTTTCTGTGTCCCGGCGTAATGCCGCGGGATTGATCCGAGATCTTCCTTTTCTTGAAATCGTTTCAAGCTGTTTGATATAACCAAGAAACTGATAATACGCATGTATAGAGAGGCAATCGTTCGCTGGTAAGCAAATTGATGACGAACAGGTGGCTTGCTCCCGCATCTGACCGCGTAAATGTTCATGATCGTCTATAACCATAGTTACAATAATATAGTCTTAATAATGCCACAATATGGAGGATTGATCAGAAAAAAAATGGAGGGAACGAAGGTTACTCATAACGAAAAGTACAGAAAGGGAGCAACAACAAAAAAGCAACGGCAGGATATTTTTATAGGGGCATCCTGTTAAACTATTGCCCCCGGCCTTTTCGAATGAAGTACAATAGCAACAAGAAAAGAAACGAAAAAAAAAACAATGAAAGGATGTCAAGCTTATGAAAGCAACCACTATGTCTGCACAATTGACGATTAATAATTGACGATTGCTTGAGACAACTAATGTTGTAATATTATTGCTTAGGAGACTGCGACACTTGGGTGGAATTAATGATCTGAAAGAACTAACTAACTTTAACCTAGTGATAGCAATAATTAGCTCTATAGATTTTTGCCATTTTCAATAAAGGCCTCTATATATGTGTTTGAGGGCCTAGGATATGCAGAGAACGTCACCGCTCATTTGCCGTACGCATTCTAAGATAGCGTCCTAGCCTACATAAGGGATTTATACCGCGAATAATTCATTCGCTGCAGCAAACGTCGATAACCCTAAACGAACTTTTTCTATCAGGGTGATCTGTTAGGGCCAATTTGTCGACTATAGACGGCATGGAAATTTGAGTTCTATGATTCTGGACGAAAATAGTCAGAGCAGCAAAGCAGCTGTAGAAGCAGTAAAATCTGCCATAGATCTGGGACTGCTTAATTACTACGAAAATCAGCGATGCTTGGTTATCAACAAAAATTTTACTCAAATAGAGTAGGTAATGTCTTCCATCAACTATATGTGACTAGTGCCTTTTTGGGAGGAACCGAGTATTAGGTACACAGTGTAACTGTGTTAATACTGTTATATAATAAGTAAGCAAATTACAATATGGTCGTCACAGGCCCCTTCAACTGGCGAAAGCAAATTTACTTCTGGGTAGGCGTATGACAATGTCTGCGAAGAAAACAGTTTTGCACACGGGTTAGAGCCGAAACGATGCTATACCCACGATCGTATGTGACGTTGATAAACACCTGACAATTTGTTCTACGTATATTTAATCGTCATCTTTTATCTTATCATGCTATTTATTTAGATTAATTCCGCTCTCTCGTAGTACAAGTTCTTTCATTGCCAAGCAGTAGCCTCCCCCAATATATAACACCTCTCCAAGCCCCTCGGTTTCTCTCTAATGCGTTTGAAACCTCCCGTTCTTCGTTCGAGGCTGCTGTACCCTGATCAATAGACATCGCGTTTCGGCGTATTTTCAACAATAAGCTGATCCCGGGCTAATCCAATTCACGTATACACTCATTTTAGTACTGGTGCGCTTATAATAGGAAACTAATTATAATACTATTGACAGTGGTAACCGCTAACATTGTGCATGATAGATAGCCGTTAATATTGGTGGATTATTTCGATCGATTCAACGATCGCGCGGCGTCGAGAAGTTCTTGTCATATTTGCCGCATCTTCCTGGTCCGAGGGCGTGGATTTCCTCGCACTTTACTAATCTGGTTAGACCTCTGCTTTAATTTAACCTAACAAGGTTGTATCGATTGTCCTTTAGCACAGCAAAATCTGCAGGTTTGTTTGACGTTTGCCTAGACTATCAGGCAACTATCATAGGTAAACGAACATTTTAGGATTCTAGCCAAGGCACAGTAATCTTATGCAGAATTAAAAAATGCTCAATGTTTCCCAGGGCAAGTCTTGTTAATCAGTTACGTTTGCCACATTAGTTTGAGGCAGTGTTTGAATAAAATGGCGGGCCTCTTGTCGATTAGTCATTCAAAACGGTTGTCGTGTTTGCTTATATGTACTACTGTCTTACTGATCCTGATGGAGCACGATCCGCGACACCAGAGTCCCCGTCTCACGGTACAAACAGACCTTAAGCCACCATTAATTAATCGCAATTATTATTACAGAATCGATCTACCTCATCAATACTCTATCAGTATATTTTTAACCTGTTGCGCGCGTCCAGCACATCCTCTTGTGACATCTGTTCGCAGTCAATTGCACACATTGCATAAAGCTTATCTATTCGTAATGGTAATGATCCATTCCAAAGTTAACGTCCCGCTAGTTTCAACGACGCTTTACTGGCTTAGAAGTTTGTTCTCGCTAGCCGATTTCCTGTTGTACGTCGTCATTAGTTTTGTTTTTGGGTATAATTAGACCACAAATCCCTCTGCGCTTTTGGAATAATGCTGCGTGTATAAATGCGCGGCAATCTGCACGAGTGCTGCTGTAGAACATTTTCTGAAAGATCTTTGCTGCCATTGTTTTTTTCTCTATTTTGCTGTCCCTTTTTCTTTTTCAGCCGCTTATCAATGTTTTGATTGCGGAAGATCTGAAAGTCTTCTTTGCCTTATTTTGCGAACAGAAGATGTGGTTGCCGTCTTGAACGCGGGGGACACCATGTAGACGAAGTCAGCTGCTGCTGGCGACGCGGCACGCCAGCCTTCAGCAGCCATTGCAATCAAATCTTCGTATTGTACAGTGGACCCGGTAACTCTCGGCTAGTACAACTCAGTGGATTTCGATAACCTCAAATGATAGATTCGCCGCATCCATTTGAAAGGCCTAACTTGGTTCCGATAATTCCTTTGTAAAAGGTGCCATATCTGTTACACACGAAAGTTAGGTTATCTTAAGCACAGCTTAACTGGCTCATAAACGGGCCACTGTCTTTAAAACGCTCCTATTCCAGATCGGATCGATGGGTCATATTTTACCTGTAAATGAAAATAGTTTCTTAGCGGGCTCCGTCGAAACAGAGAGGCATGTCCGCGACTTATTTTGCCAATGAGAATCATTTCAGTGGGATCAAAGATGGACAAAACAAATCGTTCTTTAAATCGAGTTTGCACGCCTGTGCACTAGGTAACGGTGTGATTAAAACTAACCAGAAATCCACAGCTGAACGCCTTGTAACCGTGTGTACTAACACTTGTAAATCAAAGCAATATTTTTACCAACTTAGCAAACAACTTAATCGTGTGTATAGAATTTCCAAACAATCACCAACCTCTTTGGATTTTCTGCGTTTGCTCCTTTGGCAAAATCGAACTCTTGTCTTGAAATGGATGCTGAAACCAGCAGTTTTCGACGTTTGATTCTGGAGGACAAACTGATTTGTGTTAAGCCATACCCACAAATCAGCTACATAACAGCTACTGTAGCTTTTAAAAACTCACACGGTAGATTCGCCGATCAAAATCCGATTTAGATAGTTCACATTATTATTATTATTATTATACATGATCTTAAGCATAAGAATCATTCTCTAAATTTCTTTTTGTCGGCGTATAAACTAAATTTGTTGTTAGTATTATAATTGTAACTAAGATGTTTTCCGCTGGATTTATTTTTATGCCTTTATTGTCCCCATCGGCAGAAAATGCCAATACCGAGTATTAGCAACGATACAATAGATATCAGCTGGAGCAATGGACCCGGTTAACAAGCCAGATAAAAAAAAGTAAACAGTATATAATAACAAGAATACGATAGGCAACTTGGTAGCTTTTACTATGATATAAACACAGAGTAAAGTCCAGAATAATGCTTATTCATCGTTCTGACACTAATAATAACGATGATCCAACTATAACATTATACAGTGGGATGAATATATATATGTTAGAGGAATATACATTGAGAGATACACATATGTAATGACAAGTATATATATAAAGCAAAAACTGTACAGAGCGTTTACCTTTAACCTTAATCCTAATAAATAAGTACATGCGTAAATATATATATATATATATATATATATATATATATATATATATAAATTCTCGTCTGACTTTGCGTATGCAGTAAACTACTATTAATCGTCTGAATAGTGTTACTATATATTATATAATTATTCACTCTCTAAGTATGTAGATAGCGACAGCGCGCCATGGTGTTTCTCCAAGACCGCATAACACTCATTTGAAAAGAAATATCTTGCGATTAAATTCTGTATATATATATACGAATACAATTACAATATAGTAATACTGAAGTATATCTGCGGCTATCTGAGGAATGTCAGTACTCAGAAATGAAATGAAGTAGATCACTTCGATAAAAAACAGCAGAAACATAACGTGAAAAGAGGCTAACTTGAAACTACATTATTGATCAGATGATCTTATTACTGAGTATTGTGTAACTAGCTACCGAAACGGGATAGAAGGCGATGGTTGTACCCACAGGATACGACAATGCAAAACTATCGTGAGGCGATGTCGTCGTACGCGTGACCAGTGATGGCAGGTCACCTGGTCCTAAATAGAAATCGCGAACATAGTTAGACATTAGCGTAATGTTTATAGATAGAGCACGATCATTGATAGATGAGGGAACGATGGAAATTTTTAATAACACAACATGCCGCATATATAGTGACATTGAGCATCGGACATCCCTTCTGACTGGCTGCATCTGCTCAAGGCGCATTCACGTTCATGAAAAGTAAACGTATGAAAACAACTAAAGAACAGTAAAACGACGAAGGGCTACAGTAGCTAAGAAAATTACGCGTAACTATAATTATATTTGGATGATTTTGATTAATTAGAAATAGTGATGACATGAAATAATGCAAGCACGATTGGATTATAAACACCATTACAACTCTATGATAATGGATACATAGATGACGAAGGAGATAACTACAAGATTACAATCATGACTGTTTGAAAACCACAGCTAAATTCAGTAACTTCGAAATAAAATGTACGATGATAACTCTGACAGTGCGGGCAATGCTTTCATTTTTCTAAACTAATTCTACGGTTCATAGTTAGAAATATCGACAAGTTATATAGGCACAGTTTTTTTTTTGGCTTATCTCGAGAACCGTGAAATTGTCGTAAAAATGAAATAACTTTAAGCCTACGGTATGTTAGTCAATCAGATTTATTCTAAGAGTTTTCGAGGTCTCGAAATCGGATGTTAGTCTCTAAGCAAGCTGATTTGTATCTTTTATACGATAATCCTCGTAAGAATTCCATTTGGATTTCTCTCATTTAGGTTGCCGAAATTTTGCTTCGTTTTTTAACCCAAACTTCGGATTCTCAGAGATAATACTAATAGGCTTTTGAATATGGTTCAGTTTTACGTAATTTTATTTGCAAAATTCAAAACCGTACTAAGTAAGATGGTTTGAAAATCTCTTCAATACAAGATCAAAGATAGTGCCATAATCTAGAAAGCACCTAAAATAAATCTAAGACAATCAGCGGGGCCTTTTGTGTTTAGTTTCATTATGATACACTCCACCTAATCTAGCTAGCGTCCGTTATGCACGTCCCCTGTTATCTGCTATTTCACTTATGCGGGAGAACTCGGTACTCATTGACATACGTTACCAACTTTGCTATCTCTGCCAGTCACTCCAACTTCGAGACTTTCAAGAAAACCAGGGCCAAAACCAAAGCTAGCTATAGTACAGTCAACTACTTATCGACACCCTATCGCCTATTTCGTAATAGCTATTCTGCTACCATTACGCTCCCTTCCACCTCTGCTCAGCCTCGCCAATTCATCCTACATGATGAGCTCCATTTAAAGTGGCTAAAACCAGCAGCTCGTCAAAAATGCCCAAAGATCAACCACCCTTTGTAGCTTAACTGAAGCTAGGGGATGCCAGAAGTCTGGAAGCTGGCAGAGAAGAACCTGTCCGTAATTTTTTTTGATGTCCAAAATTAGCCATATTGATGACGAGAAGATAGCTGCTCCCTCGATGGCAGCCAATGACGTCGACGTTATTTATTCCTGGCCAGCTCGTGGGAGAAACATTGGGCCGCGAACCGGCCCTAGATGCAACTGAGCGACATAACGAGACTCACCGACAAAGGACCACAAACGGCTGCGACGCTAACAACTAAAATTTATCAGTAGTGGCAATTTGGTTATCGTGTACATCTATAACAATCGACAATAACACCCGTCAAATGAAACAGTAAAATCAGTGGCAGTAGAAGATCGTATAGTACGATGGATAAGATTAAGAGGTAACGTCACGGACTATCCACCCATTCATCTTCGTATGACCTATTACTGCCAAATGACTGAAACCGCTTTTGCATAACGTCAGCCGTAAGAAACTAACGCTAAGGGTCTTACTGTTTCTTCTTACTAATGTACACATTTACTACATGCTGAAAGAGCACCGCATACTCTAGCTTAACTAACAAATTAATAAGGACGGTAATAGAAAAAGCACCATGCTAAGTTTGCATAAAGAAAAGCTACGTTGATTGCCGCGCTGATACAAATTTGAGAATTCAAATTTGGAACCAGAGCTAGATTTCACTTATAAACGAGATTTTTGCTAATGATAACTTACGACGTAACTGCATTTAAACAATGTAACTATAGTTACAGTCCTTGCTTGTAATGTGTACAAATTCATTCAAAAAGCAACGAGGTAGCGAAATATTGGTACCGAGTCGTGCTGAAGTTCCGGTAGGTATGCTTTGGACAATTTGTAACAATATGTGTGAGCAACTTTGAATCGTGCAAGACTATGATCTTACAATAGGCAAAAATGCGGCCTTTATTTTACCGATGGTTGAAAAAGCAAACTAAGTTCTATGAAATTAAATAGCCGATCGGCATATATTCAGATGGCCAGCCACACGCACAAGTACAAACATGCATCCATACTATATCGGTGCATTGTACTGCAGTATCAATAAGCCTCAATATAGTTAACTATGTATGCCATGCTAATTGGGCCTTAAGTCAGTTAGTCAGCCATAAAGATGAATAACTGTGCTTAATGACGAGAAATAGATCACCTAACTGCTAAAAACACATCATACGTGGGAAGTTCTTCTTTTACTGTGTTCATATAGCAATCGTGAAGAAGCGGGAAGAATCCTGCTAATTCAAATAAACGCTTTTAACATATTCTTGCAGAATAAAATAATGAGAAATGTTAAGGTGAAAAGAAATTTTAGCCACATAAAAAATGTTTGTTGTATGACAACGACAATTATGAGCGGCCGCAACCACACTTTGTACATTTATTTTGCGAGACAAACATGGCACGTCAGTACGAACATATTAATCGTACTTTTACTAGTATTATAGGCTACTAGTAGTGATAGTCTAACCATTCAACAACCACCAAATTTTCTGTATCCAAACCTTCTCTGTCGATAGCCACATGGCCACGCGTACATCTAATGTATAGTCAAAGTATTATATTTACAGTTACGATCCACATAGTAAGTCAACTGGATTTACAGGTATCTACACATATGTATATAGTCTCTATTTGCTATCATACGCATACTTGGCTAGTTCAGTTGCAGCAAACATCAAGTAGCATCGAAAATCTCTGTTGAATGCATTAAAAATGAGATCGATAAAAATAAGAAAAGTCTGTTATAGGTAGTATGCGTACATTATCAGTGATGAGAATAAACGAAACTTGGAAGAAAAAATGCAGACTTTCCCGGGCTTTAAAAAAAAATAGCGAGTAAAAAAGAATTTCGTTAATCGGCTACACTAACCGCGCTTAGAGGAATATCAACAAAGGTTCGAGAAGCAGACGACCCTGCTGCTGAGTGTCGCTGAGCGAAATTTAAAGGCGATGAAACGTGCATAGAACGTTCTTATTGAACCTCTGCTGAGCTTATACTCCTAAACACCGACGCGATCTCTCATTAGATAATTAACAGCGAGCCAGGTAATATCTTCCTGACACTGTCCTTACCTAAGTTACAAACATGTAATGTGATTAGTATGCTCTTGTTTTTCGTTGTGTTTGCTATTGAAATTCGTGTGAAATTGTTTTTTTACGGGCAGAAGCAAGTCAATGCACAAAGTTCTTGTTTTAGACGGCGAAGCTTCTGCCTTTGATGAGCCTAGGCGCTGTGAAATTTTTTTAGGGAATCAGATCACTTTGAACCAGAGCGCATTTTAACTGGAACCCGTGTACTTCGTTTTCATTAATGTCCCAGGAGGAAGAAAATTAAATCAGAAATGTGTTTTCTTTCACTTATTTAACCATCTGAGAACAAAAGCCCTGTAATATAATAATAAATAAACATAATTTATACATATATAAATTTATATATACATAAAAATAATATGATATATACATACGCAAAAAATGCATAAAACTAAAATGATATCGATTGCGGGTGACTGTTGTTTCTGCAACTAAATTCCGTTAGCCAGTATTTCGAGATCAAAACATCATGACAGCACAGGATGTCGAACTTGGAACATCTATTTGATTAAACATTATCAGAGACAAGCGTATCTGGAATATCTAGTACTAACAATAACGAGTAATGCTGAAATGGGCCATTGTTTCAATGAGTATTCTAATATACATGTTTAATTTTTTTTTAAATTTTATTCTTTAAATTCAGAAATGTTATGGCGATCTGGTATCGTCAAAAACAATAAAGAAAAGAAGCAAACATTGCTAAAACTCTATGACAAACGGGAAGTGTTTTTAGATGCCGTTT